TTGCTCCCAGCAAAATGTTTGGATGTTTGGCATTTTGTTTCAACAGCTCTGCTCTCACTGCTCGTATTACTTTAATGTCAGTTTAAGAGCAACCTCAAATTGTACCATCCACGTGCTGGCTTTTGTATTATAAAAGTGAAACGTGGACAATGAGCGTGGGTGGGTTACTTTAATATTTTTACAGAATAATATTATATTAGGAAAAGTTAAAACGCATACTTGGAAAAGTGACTGGAATTACATGACACTTTACAATATATAACATTTACATAAATAGGTACTTTTAGGGTAGGCTGTCCGTCCGTCCGTCTGTCTGTCTGTCCGTCCGTCACCAGGCATGATCTCATGAAACGTAATAGTTAGATTGAAATTTTCACAGATGATGTATTTCTGTTGCTGCTATAACAACAAACACCTAAGTACTAAAAACAGAATAAAATAAATATGTATTTAAGGAGGCTTCCATACAACAAACGTGATTTTTTTGCTCGTTTTTGCTCGATATTGATTACGACAACAGGTAGACGCTTGAAATATTCAAAGAATATTTAGTTACATATTCACTATAAAAATAAAGAATTAGATTAAAATGAAACAAATATTTAAGGGGGGCTCCCATACAACAAACCTGATTTTTTGCCGTTTTTATAGATAATGGTACGGAACCCTTCGTGCGCGAGTCCGATTCGCACTTGACCGGTTTTTATTTGTTTGTGTTATTACATTATTATGTATTATATTCTTCTATATAAATAAAAAGTATGTTTGTCCTTTAAGCGTTCCTAAGCCATTCAAGCTTAGGGACGCACCTGAGCGTAGCAAGAGTAAATCGCTAGTTTTATATTAAATTAATCGAATATTAAATTAAACAGGCAGTGGTAGCCCAGTGGTAACGCGCTCGCTTGGAAAACCGAGTGAAGCGAGTTCAAATCCCGGGTCTCGCACCTCTGATATTTTCATGTGCGAATCATTTCTATCGAGATGACCACTTGCCTTACGGTGAGGGAAAACATCGTGAGGAAAACTGCATGTCTGAGATAATCTAGCAAGTTTTCGAAAGATATGTGAAGTCCGCCAACCCGCACTTGGCCAGCGTGGTGAACTATGGAATGATACCCCTCGCATTGAATGGAGACCCGCGCCCAGCAGTGGGACATTAAAAAGGGTTGAATACAATCGAATACTTAAATATTCTCTATTGAGTTATTATTAAATAAAGGTTCGGTAAAGAAACTAACGAAGCATGATGGCAAAAGCAAGAAATTTCATTTTTCACCCACACATTTTCTAATTTAAACAGAATCGCCGAATAAAAATAGTTGATCCCTAAACTGGTTATGCTGAGAATACGGGAATTCGAGAATGCTACGTACCGCAATACGCACATGCTGTCAACCATGTTCTTTTAATCTGAGGGCTAATAGTAAAAAAATAAAAAGATTTCATCCTGACCGATTTTGATCTCGGCGGCAATCTCTCTAGAACTAGACATCCGCGCCGGAGATTATAAATTTATTAACACTAGTGTATACACAGACACAATGACTCTCTCCTTTTTTTTCTGTCACTCTCATACTCCAGTGGGATGACATTTCGATACGATCAGATTGTTAGTGAATTCGTCGTTTTTTCACTAAGGATAGATAATAAAAAAGCATGATAGACGTATGGTAGGTACGAGTTTCCTTTCTTCTCGTCCTTTAGCTCTCCATATCTATTGTCTAAATTAACAATCTTACGGTAGTTTGAGTCGACCTAGCAAACTTAGTTATTGACATGACAATTACTGTGGACCGTTTCAAATATGAGGCGCCAAATTTCTTTCAATCTGATCAAATCATCATCAGTCTACTAATTCTAGTCGTCAAAGATAGATGGAATTTGACCTCTCCTAATTAAACATGAACGTTATCTCCTAAGTGGTCATAAAACAATGAAGCATATTAGCGTCAAATTGCATTCATTGCGTCGTTTCTGTGCTTAATAGTTTCTTACGTAACTATTTTGATCTAAGAGTAACGCGTATTTTTATAGTAAGAACTGAATTTGGTTAATGTCATACCTAATAAAAATGAAGTTTTTTATATAATTGAGGTGTATGTATTCAGCCCTTTTTAACTTCCCACTGCTGAGCACGGGTCTCCCTTCAGTACGAGGGGAATCAGGCCATAGTCCACTACGCTGGCCAAGTGCGGGTTGGCGGACTTCACATGTCTTTTGAAAACTTGCTAGGTTCTCCTCAGACATGCAGGTTTCCTCAAGGTGTTTTCCTTCATTGTAAGACAAGTGGTAATCATGTCGGAAATGATTCGCACATGAAAATATCAAAGATGCGCGACCCTGGATTAGAACCGACTTTACTCGGATTTCCTAAGGAGTGTGTTTCCCCTGGGCTACTACTGACTGTGCTGTGTGTGCGTCTGTGCTGTGCTGTGTGATAATACACAGTAGAAAATATTACTTATTAAATATTATTTTAGGACCTATGCACATTATGTTTTAAAACGCGCGGATGACATGCGTGTCATGAACGCGTGTCGTCTTATTCTCGCGTGTCTAATTAAAATTGAAAATTGCGTTACATAAATCCGCTCACTACTAGCACCGCGTTTGTCGCATTACATGAGCATCGACTGTGCGTTAAAAATCTTCGTGTTCCAAATCCCTAAGTAATTGCAAACTAACAAATGCATGCGATTTTTCTCGCGTTTGTAATTTAACTTAGTTCATAACTACAACTCGACTTACGTTTTAAATAGACGATCAAGTATTAAAGAATTCATTTGACTGATTAGAATTAAAATAGTTTTTTACCTGTTTTTATTTCACACAAATGCTATTTAAAGAAAAGTAAACTTTAAAATTCGCCTATGTACTTTCGCCTATGATTTTGTATTTTCTTGTGATGCGCGATAAAAAACTTAATATATGAATGACCTTCATACTCCTTGTCCCTCGTCGTACGCATATTAAAAAGGCTTTCCTCGAATGGACTTACTAGATATTTATAAAACTTTCATATTTGAACATAGTTTTAAAATTAAACTACCGTTTTAATCCGTGCAATGGCTTCTGTGGCTGCAAACAACGTTGCATTTAAAAAGTGATTGAGATTTGATGTTGAGTTCTTGCCAACTTAATCTTTTTCAATAAAAATTCAAACTTTTACCTAACTTTTAGCATTTTTCGCAAAAACCGATATATTCGCTTGCTTGCGAAAAGATAAGCTTTGTATAACGTTATAGTAAATACATTAAAAAAAACTGTTTTATTACGGTAGTAATAAAGTTTTTAATAGTTTATGATAACAATAAATAATACCTAAATATTATTATCATTTTAGCTTTAAATAAGCTATGCAATATTTTTATTATCTTTCATGACCATTATATATCAAGTATCTAACTGCTTTTTATAAAAGTAATGGCTCACGATCGCTTTGCTTGGGTTCGCCTCTGGAAAAACCAAAACAAATCTATCCCACGGAAACCGTACTTTCTTCCGGGATAAAAAGTAGCCTATGTGTTATTCTGATGTATGATATAAGATTGTAAAGTTTTATTTAAATCCATTCAGTATTTTTTGCGTGAAACAGTAACAAACATCCATACATCTATACATCCAGACATCCATACATCCTCACAAACTTTCTTTCACATATAAATAAAAAATATACTAAAACATATAATTTTATACAGCCTGTTAGCACCACTACGATTGTAAACGGTGCATACTGGAAACAAATATAAAGCAACATTTCTATACCAGGCCAAGGCAAATGTTGGTTAGCTACTTTCATACAGACACATGGCTAATTTTTTTTAAATTTATTGGACTTTATCCGCATCAACTGAAAAAAACCCATGACACAATTCTCTTTATTTATTAGTCTCATTTTAATATTATAATATTTACTAACAATAATGTTAATATACAGGATAAAAGGTAATATTTTAACAACATACATTAAAAATTATATTACAGTCTAGCCTTATATGTTAATTAACCCTTTTGAGGGCCGGTCCTTTGTGAATAATTAAATAGTACTAACTACTAACCTTGAAGTGTGTGTAAATTAATAAGAAAGCTTAACATTGTGTTTTCACTGACCTTCTAGTAACATAGAGGATTGCTTGTTTCATGGAATAAGTAATGAGTTTGAGGTTTTTATGGCTAAATATTTTTTGCCTGTAATATATTTCAAAAAGCTATGTTGGTAAAATTGGCATTAAATTTTTTTGTAAATAAATTAGTCTTCTAAAGTATTAAATGAGGTAGGCAAGTATTATTTAATATGTCAGCTGTTTTTACCCTTTTCCTTCTACTCCAAATAATTAAAAAGCTACCATTTTAATTGAATTACGTACAAAAAGGTTATCTCCAACTATACGTAAAGAACAGATATATTATACAACAATTTTATATCATTATTGTTATAGTACGCACACTTGATAAGAAATATATAATTACTTAATTTTCAAAATCAGCTGAGTGGGTTTTATTGTATGAAAATATATTTTTATATAATTTAACAGACAAAAGATGGTAAATTATCACATAAAATTTAATAGCACCACATTATATTTTCTTATTTTCTTAATTTTTATAAACAAAGTTATTCTATATTATATAAAGATACAAATAATTTTTTAGCATTGAATTATGAGCACAGCCATTGAAGTGTGTAAGGACATTGAATTCTTTTTTGGGATATGAATATACTGTTCCTTATTTGCTAGCATGTTAATAAGACTATTTGACATAAAAGTTTGGAAAATTAAATATGAAGGCACTTAAAAACATTTAAAAATAATAAAGTTATTTTACTATTTAATTAAAACTCATCATTAAAGAAGAATCGTCTGATATTAATTAATTGTACTTTTATTACGATTTACTTGTTTTTGCCCCTGAACATAATTAATTTTTTTTGTTTTTTTTTTTAAACATTTTGAAGAAGAAACATAATATATAACCTATTATTTGAAAAATCAACTTACGGCGAATATCGTATTCTGAAGTCCGAATGGAATCGGCGTTAATCTTGCAAAAAACACAATCTTGAACGCCTGTGGTCCTGAGATCACTTTAAGAAGTGCTCTCGCTGTATCATTTTTAAGAAGCCGGTCGAGAGGCAAGTATCCCCTTAGCATTTTCAACGTGAAATGTGCTACAGCTACACCAAAATTCGCACTCACAACCACTGTCCCCAATCCCTTCAAGATACCAAACAAATAACCACTGGTTATTATTAAAACTAGGTATCCAATAGTCACTGGAAAACTTACAATCAAAAATAATCCCATAAATAATAAAAATATTATTTTCGGATCTTGCGCGTCCACCCAGAATAAAATAGTCTTTAGATACTCTTTGAAAAAATATAACACTAAAACTAAGCACGTTAGTAATAATATTGAAATAACAATATTAAATAAATAACTGTATGTCGTCCTGTTGTTTATTTTAGCCCACAAACTTTTCTTTCTCGTTACTGCCGAAGGATCGGCTTGACCGTCTTCAACGTCCACTATTTCCATATTTTTATTTTACTGACAAGATAAACACGAGTTAATCGACGGTGCACTAAATTTATGCGAATAAAATAGACTATCATTCACCATGGCCTACTTTCCGCTACTGTTTATTTCGACACGGGATAAAAATCAAGATAGAGCGTTTGAGAATCGTACTATCGTAGCGATTGTGACGACTGACGTGAAGTAACAACCGAATACCAATTCTTACCGATTAGAACTGACATAAATTGTGAATTGTGATTATACATATTTATAAACTTGAATAATATATAAGTCATTTAAACAAAATAAGTTATTTTAATGTAATCCACCGTAGGATTATTAAGATTCCTTAATCTTAAATTAAAAACACATTTCAATTTTTAGTTGACATGTTAAAAAAATCGATTATAATAATTTTCCCTTAATAATGAATTATTTCAGAATAAATGTAAATTAAAATAAGTTATGTATTATTTTTGGCGTCCTTTGTTACATTGTTATTATTACATATTATTAAAACCAGATGAGACAACTCATTATAAACTATTAGGTATTAAAAATGTATATTTTCTTGAGTATTTAAATTGTAAAGTCTGTGGTAATTTTTTTGATTGTGAGATTCAGATTTCAGATCAGCGTTTTATGTCAATGTCAAAATAATTTGTCTTCCACGACGATTTTCACAGAGGATTTAATTTATTTTTTATATCCCCCGAATGGTTTAGTTCTTTGAAATCGCAGTTTTCCTGCGAGATCAAATTTTCTTCTCTAAAAATAAAGTTTTGCAATTCCATTAATTGTAATTTTATTATATCAATAAAAAGTTTAGTGTAAACCTAACCATGCCGCCGAAAAAAGCTGGAAATTCTGCCAGCAAGAAGACGGAAGCGAAAAAGAAGGAGAAAGTTATAGAAGTAAGTTTAAGCGTCGAATATTTTATTTCTTAGCCATATAAAAATTAGATGATTTTCGATACTGGTTAAACATCACGATGTCAATATGTACAAAGTAGCGGTGTGGCGATAAAGATTATAAGATAATATTATATCATATTCATTATTAATATTTTTAGGACAAAACATTTGGGTTGAAAAATAAAAAAGGAGCTAAACAACAAAAATTCATCCAACAAGTAGAAAAACAAGTCAAAAGTGGTGGAATTCACCCAGCTAAGCCTGTGGAGGATAAAAAGAAAGATAAAGAACAGAAAATGAAAGAACAAAAGGAACTTGCTATGCTATTTAAACCAGTTCAAACTCAGAAGGTTGAAAAGGGTATTTAAAACATTTATTTTTAAAATCGTTTAGAAAATAATAATAAAAGCTTGTGTTCATTCAAGTCATTATAATACCCAGTCTGTCCCATATTTTAAATAAATTATATGATATTTAAGATTTTGAATTTAACAATATTTTTGCAAGTGGCTGTGAACTGTTAAAAACAATAAAAATGTGGGATGCTTATGAGTCAATCCATAACTTTTTAAGAATATATTCTCTACATAATTTAAAAATGTATACAATTTATACATTATATAAAAATCAAGTTCAAGCTTTCTTTAAGTTTCTGTATATCTTATCTCATAATGTTTAACATGAAAAACATAAATGTTGCAGGAATTGATCCCAAGTCGGTTGTGTGTGCATTCTTCAAACAAGGACAATGTACAAAGGGTGATAAATGCAAATTTTCTCATGATTTAACAATTGAAAGAAAGGTATGTAAATGATTTTTTTAATATTTATTTATCGATTTGAAAACACATTTAAAAAGTTTATTTTTAGTAAGACGTAATCCATAGTCAAAAAACGTAACTAGATTTTGGGTATTACAAATAATGATCCTTACTAATAATATAAATGTGAAAGTAACTCCGTCTGTCTGTTACCTTTTCATCCTTAATCTGCTGAACCGATTTAGATGAAGTTTGGTATGGAGATTATTTGGTATGGAGACTGGAAAAGATAAAGCATAGTTTATATTCCGGAAATCACCATTGAAGAGGGTGAAAAGTGGGGTGGAAGTTTGTATGTGGAATCAATAATTTCTCAAGTGAGGGATATAAAGCACATCATACCTATGTATTGATAGTCTTATCTTTAAGTACCAAGCATCAAAACATACCTATATATTATATATATGTACTATACTATAAAATAAGTACTACTTATAAATTATTTTAATTTAAAAGTAACATTATGTAAGAAAAAAATATGTTTATAGGAGGATGTTGAGTGTCTAGCAAATGAATATGAACAATATTCCATTAAAAAGTATTTGTTTAAATTTACAGGCAGAGAAACGGTCATTATATGTGGATATGCGGGATGATGATGAGGATAATATGGATAATTGGGATGAAGACAAACTAAAAGAAGTAGTTGAGAAGAAACACGGTGAAGGCAATAAGCAAAGGCCAACAACAGAAATTGTGAGTTGCCATATTTTAAAATTCCATTTTTTTTCTAATGTTTTTATTTACAAGTTTGGGCACATTGCTTTACTCACAAAGAAATGAAATGTAAATATTCTCCACACTTATATACTTATATGTGTTGCCCTTTAGCGTTATCTAGTGGTGTGCTACTGTAGAAATTTAAAACAATGCATAAAAAGCTTTCAAAGTTTTACAGTTTTTCATGAGCGATTTATGTTTTTATCCATATAAGTGAATCTGATAAAAAAATTATTTCATCTACTTAATTAGTAGTAAAATGAATAAAAACCACACTAAATTATAATGAAAATTCCAGATTTGTAAACATTTCCTAGAAGCTGTAGAGAAATCCAAATATGGTTGGTTTTGGGAGTGCCCCTCGGGTACGAAATGTATATACAGACACGCTCTGCCCGCTGGCTTTGTTCTTAAACGAGATAAGAAGAAGTTGGAAGAGAAAAAGAACGAGATATCTCTTGTTGACTTGATAGAAAGGGAGCGTGCTGCATTAGGACCAAATCAAACTAAAATCACTCTGGAAACTTTCCTAGCTTGGAAGAAAAAGAAGATCAAAGAGAAACAAGTATGTAATAATAATTATTTGTTTAATAATAATTTAATTTCATATCTACCATATATTATTGGTGGCAGGATAATGAGACCACTTATGGGCTAGTTTTTCACCCTGTAATATCTATTTAGAGACCTGCCTTCTGTTGAATAATGAATGACTTGTTTATTATAACACATTTTTGTTAATGATTCCAGTTAAAGAATATCTGTAAAATCAAGTATCATTTGAATGTCTCCAGTCTCTTATTAGGCCAAAAAATATAAATAATAATAGAATTAATCACGTGATCACAGAATTAGATAATCTAATTCTTTATCCTTTACAACTTTGTAACAACTATGCAACCTTTGAGAAATCTATAACCTTAGGCTCTCCCGTGACCATGACTGGTGTAGAGCATTCGAAACATCGGGAAGTAAAAATCAAAATAAATCTGCAAAATAATCCGAAAAGATAGTTTTATTTAAAATGTCAAATATTCGCGAAAATCTAAGAAAGTATTATTTTATCCTCTAGTTTGAGCTAAACTGTAATTATTATTCCTAATGATATTGTATTTTTTTAATATAAATAAATGCTTATAATAATTTCTTTTTATTTTATATTCTATCACCCTTTCAGGAAGCCTACACTCAGGCAGAAGAACAGAAACGTAATGACTTCAAAGCGGGCAGAGCTGTTGGTTTGTCTGGTCGTGAGATGTTCTCCTTCGACCCTGCCCTCGCAGCTGAGGATGATGATGATGATGAGACCTTTGACCTTCGTCATTATGATGATGAAGAGGAGGAGCAGGACATCATGGAGTATAGGAATATCGAGCTGGACCTCATTGGTATGGAAGCGTCAGAGGTATAGTTGGATTTTTATTATGTGTTTTAATATAATATGACCTCTGCTTTTATGGAAAGTATACGACTTTTTAAATTTTTGTCTGTGTGTCGGTTTGTTCAGGCTAATCTATAAAATGGCTGGACCTATGTTGACGGGACTTTCACTGGCAGATATTTGATGTTATAAGAAGTAACTTAACTTAGGCTACTTTTATTTTAAAAAAAGAATTAATGTTCCTCTCCAAAAATGTAAAACGTACGCTATGGACGCACCCAAGCGAAGCGAGGGTAAGTCGCTAGTACATATATTAGTTACATTTATTAGGTACATTTGTCGTTCTCAGGTGGACGGTTCTGGTACCAAAGCAACAGAGGACAGATTAGAACAGCTGGGTAAAGGCTTAGAGAATGGAGAAGAAGAAAAGTCAACAGAAAGTCCAGAAAATGCAGTCCCTATTAATGAAAACCTGTTCCTTGACGAAGATCTGGATGAAGAACTGCAGAATTTAGACCTGGAAGATTAGTATAGAGAATAAATGTTTATTATAAATACAATCTGTTTTCGTCCAATTTTGGTTTTGACATTTAATTTAAAAAAACGTGCAAACGAAATCTATACATATAATAAAATTTTAACTAAGCCAAATCTGTACATTAAATATTTTTTGGAAAATCTTATTGAAGCAAACATTATTATGTATACTTGTGCCAAATATAATATAGTTTTTAGAATTTTTGTGTCTGTCTGTCTGTCTGTTACCACATCACAGAAAGACCACTGGAGGGATTTTGATGAAATTTGGTATGGTGATAGCTGGCTGTCCAGGTCATATAGAATATAGGATACTTTTTACCGCGGGAAAATATCTCATTTCTGAGAAAAATACAAAAACTGCTATGTAAGAGACAAGAGTATACTAATATATAAAATATAAGATTTTGGTTTTTGGTCATCTGAACGCGGGCGGGAGTCGCGGGCAATGCTAGTAAATATATTTCATATTTGCCTAATAACCATCTTGTTTTAGGGTTTTATTGCTCGCAGAAATAAAACAGTGCTTATGTTATTTTTTTTATTTGTTAATAATAATATGCATAATGCTCAAAAATTAAATGATATACTTTATATAGTTAAAAATATATTATCTCAGTAATTTACAATAATTGCTCCATTTTAAAATGCAGAAAAAGAAAAAACATCTTGACAAAAAATGCAAAATATCTTATGTAGAAATAGTCAGCCATGTTGCTGGGTTGTCTATGGTTATTTTATCTATGACGGTTTGCGAAAATCCTTTAATTTTCATTTTAGGTAGCACGTTGGTAATTATGTGATCGTATCCATGGCCACCATAAGAGGTCTGTAACAAATGTAAATTATATAATAATATGTTTTATGTACATTGAGACATTGACTTTTGGGTAGCGATTTCTAAATAAATAAAGTTTTTATTTATATATGAACACAAAAAAAATATTAGACCAATAATGGCGCTTGTTCTTTTACGTTGTAATGAAATACCGATTTTTGTCTGGAGATAGTTCGAAAATTAAGTTTAAATATTTTAAACCCGACTGCGCCAAAAGGAGGGTTAAGTTTTTCAAATGTATGTATATATATTTCTTTGGCACGCTCTGTAGTCGTAACGGCTTCATGGATTTTAGCTTGAGAGGTGTCTTAAGATTTTTCTTAATTGCGAGAATGGGACTGGGTATATCAAAATTATACAAAATAAAATGGCTGATTTTTGACGCCATATTGTCTTCAATTTTTTTTTCCTCAAAATCTATCGAGTGGGGTATCAAAATAAAGGGTTTTATAAATGACTTACAAAAGTATATACAACTCTCAATTGTTTAAATGTAATTTGGAATGAGAAATGCTAAAAAACAACAAATAAAAAAATATAAAAATAAAAACGATTGCGTAAAAAGCTAACTAAAAAGATGAAAATAAGTTGTCGAGGCAACAGAATACTATGCAGTCGGAGACATACACACACAGCTCTTATAGAACATGTACATATGTATTCGTATCCGGAAGAAGAAGAGAGGATAGAATAAACAAATATTTTGGGACATTAACACACAGCGCTATCTAGTTCCATGGTAAACTACGAAGTACGAGGCCTGTCTTATAGATACCAGACAGTTGATACACTACACATATATAACTTTAAATACATACATATTATAAATATAAACATCCATGACTGGAGTACAAAAATTCGTGCTTATCACATAAATGAAGGCCCTAGCGGGACTCGAACCCGCGACCGATGGCACAGCATGTGAGGGTCAAAGTGAGCCAAACGTGTCGTCATAATAATATAGAATAGTAGAATAAAGTAAATAACTGATGACTTACCAATCTATGTTTAGTGTGGATATCATGAGACATGAGAATTTTATCTTCATAACCGCTATCCACCAACTGCTTTATCATTTGAATCCTTTGGGCATCTGATGGCATATCGGTCATTTCATTTAATTGGTAGAAAGAAACCTCAACGCCGAATAAATCATACTGGCAATATGTTCCAAGTTTGGCAAATTCTAGAAGTTTCTCAGGGTCCAGCAAAGTTCCTGGAAGCAATGGATTTTAAAATTATAGGATTGTTATTTTACGAGGGTCGTTTGAAAAATATCAGTTACTTTGAAAAGAAAAAAAAAATATTTTCGTTTTAATTTAAAAGAAAGAACGGCAGTAGATTAGTTAGAGTTCTTTAATCCTTATTAATCAAAAATATATCTTCGAAAAAGTTTTTAAATAATTTTAAAGTCATATGTACATCGATTCTTATATGTCGTAGAATGATAAGACGCCATTACTTGCTAGTACTAACTTTTGCGCCAGAATCCAGTTTATATTTGGGATAAGGCAAATTATTTTGCCTTGCCTTATCATTTAAATAGCAAAAGATCGTTGTTCAGAAAATATCTAAGGACAAAATATTTCACGTGGACTTATACTTTGTACTAGAAAGTAACAAAACGTTTATGTATGATTCACTGTTCAAAAATAATGAAAGGATGAAATAACTCACTGTCCAAATGAGACATTACAGCCTTTTCAGCTCTGCCCCCAGCTTCCAAATAAAGGCGTATAATTTCAAAAGGTGCATCAGGATTGCGATGTGGATGAAAGCTCACGCCACATCCGATCTGCTCTTGAACTTGCCCGGCCGCAATTATTGCTTTCCGTTCAAAATCTAAAATAATTACATTTAAAATTAATAGGTTCACTTATTAAAATTATCTTTCGAATAATAGATTATCTATTGATGAATTTTTTTAAAGATATGAAAAAGATATGAAAGAGGTAAGTATTTTGAGAATCGGTCACAACTGGCTGAGACCCTTCATTCTGACTGGAATTCTTATAATTCATGCTAAACTGTATCATTCCTAATATCTTAATATCGCGTTCATAAAGACAATTGAGTTGTGAACAATTCAGTATCTACTTACCTCCTTTTTTGAAATCGCTCTATAATTCTACTTTAAAATAAACTACCTACTAATAATTGAAAAACAATATATTATATGGCTTATAAATCACGTGATCTTGATAGGTAGGTATATATTGTCAAATGCACTTACCTCGTATAGGCCAAACACTTGCTACTTCCCCGATAAACCCAGCTTTTACGTTTAAGCTCTCGCAACCTTCTAAAAGCTCTTTTGACATATGATTATACATATCTTCCTGTGAGTGATGAACTACACCTCCAGTCTGTACATCAGCTATATAAAATCCTGTACCAGCTACAACATGAACACCAGTTCGGCTTGAAACTTCTTTATAAAAGCCAATATCTCTCTGTAAGCCCTCCGTAGAATTTTCCACTATGGTTCCTGTGATAACATAGTGGTTCTATTTCAAATCTAAAAGTACAAGATTTTTATGTTCTTTACTAGCGACTCACCCCCGCTCTGCTCGGGTTCGTCCCTAGTTACTTTTTAGCAGTTAGATTTCTCAGAGATGAGATATTTTCCTATAGTAAAAAATATCCTATATTTTTTACTATAGGAAAATTAACGATAAGATTAAGAAAATTATCGATACAGAGATCGAATCTATAGTTTTTAGAATTTTTGTCTGTCTGTCTGTTACCGCATCACGGAAAAACCACTGGAGGGATTTTGATGAAATTTGGTATGGTGATAGCTGGTTATCCGGGTCAACGTATAGGATACTTTTTACCGCGGGAAAATATCTCATTTCTGAGAAAAAATACAAAAACTACAATTTAAGAGTACTATACTAATATGTAAAACCTAAGAATTTGGTTTTTGGTCATCTGAACGCGGGCGGAGCCGCGGGCAATGCTAGTAATATATATAATTCACGATTAGTGAAGGTAACATACCTATTGTGACTTAAACAAAACGAAAAAAAAACAGAGTTACACCTAAATCATTTCCTCATTTTTTGAAGTTGGGCAATATAAAAATTTAATTGATAATAACTTGTATACATACTACACTACTCATGTTACTCATACCTCCACCACATTTTTTGTATCTAAGCACATCCTTTTCAACAGCATCTTTAGCGCCTTTATCGTTCATATTTAAATTGTACTGGTTACTATATGGGTACTGTCTTATATATCCGACATTTTCTAAATTAATCAATGATCCAACATGTTCCGAGACTGACGTTGGTGGTTCTCGATAAAAATGCGAGAATTCCATAGCCATGTGCTCGTGGGTGAGTGTTCTTCCGAGTAATTTTGGATCGATATCTCCCAATACTGAAATGAAAGATCGAAAGATATTTAAGTAAATTTTTTAGTGCAAAAACTACAACTAAAACTGAGTTCTGGCTGGAATTAATACCCATAGAATATCTATTATATTTTTTTAAATTAATGTTATTTTTTTAAGATCTACTGAATCGATTGTGATGCAGTTTTTATAATATAGGTACAACTTATTGATTTCCATTTTAATTTTTAATTTGCATACATCTATGAATATGTTGCAGAGGTATTGTAGGTAAGCTAAATGGTGACTATCCGCAATCGTCGTCTGCATTTCATGGACTATTACATAATGATGAAGCTCTATATAATATATATAGCGACTCATCTTCGCACCGCTCGAGTTCGTCCCTGGGTGATTCTTTAAATTGACGTAACTTTTTTATTTATGAAGCGATTGAAATAAAACAAATACTAAATGTTAAGTGAAGCTTACCACAATATATTAGTGAAAACCGCATCCAAATCGGTTGAGCCGTTTCTGAGATTAGCGCGTATAAACGCACAGACAAACAGACAAAAATTCTATTTAAAACAAAATTTTTATTTCAATCATAGTTTTTCTCAAAAATCTTCCATGTACAGACAGCTATCGGTAACACTTTTATTATATGTATAGATGGGCCTTATACGAACTACGCTTTTTACAGACATAATGATAATATTTATAAGGAATTATAAGATAAGATGTAAGTATCAGCGGTGATTAGACTTCCTTAGTGGTTCTGGAAACTAACGTAAGCAGTTCATATATTTTTATTCCATTCGCAATGGGGAAGGATTTTGCCTTTTTCTCCCGCCAGATTTCGCAATCACTATGATCTTCAGTATATTGTAAAACTATAGCGTGGATGGAATTGTTTTCATTTTATTTAAAATGATAAATTATGCAATGTCGGGTTGCAACGAAAATGAATATAATTTGTTCCCATAAGACAAAAATTGAAGGAATTGTGCGCTTAAGCAATCAGACGACCAAAATTGGCGAAATCACAATCTTTATATTTAATGCTATGTGGGCATTATTTTACAGAAAGTGATTTTAAAACTCTTAAATCTACTACAAGTGAATATTTTTTTTTCTTGTACGTCTTTTCCCATTTAATTACTGAGTTTCATACAAACTTTCATCCCCCATTTTACCCCCTTAAGGGATTGAGTTTTGAAAAATGCTAAAACACGTATTTATTTAATTGAAGAGCATTAATTCCAAGTTTCAAGTAATTCCGATCATAAATTATTCTTTGCCCATATAAACTTTATTACCCCTTTTCATCCATCAGCCAGTCAATACCACCCTGTTGCATCTCTTCTTCTCAATAACTTCCAGGTACAATACATTGCATAGGTTAAATGCGAACATTATAGAAGCAAAAACCAGGTACAATAGAGACACTATCATAATTGCTTAACCTCAGACTGAATGTAAATAGATCATACTTGTAGCGCCCTCCTTTCAAAAAATCTTCCCCAATAATATCAGTAACAATTCTAATTAGGTATTTTTTCAACTGTGGGTACTTATATTTATATATTATAGGTACTTTAAATTTTTATAAATTTTATACAGATTAAATAGTACAAAAAACACTATATGTGTGTTAACTGTTAATTAATAGGCGAGGCTTGGCAAAGGCGTGCGGTCCGAGACATACATATTTAACAATACATATATTTTATAGCTAAACCCTTTTAAATATTTTTAAGGTTATGTTAGATTTGAGTTTTATTTGTTATTTCCTTTCGACGACGTTAAGCTGTTCATTATAATTCAGATAATACGAGACACACCTAACAAGACAACATAATATACCTATTCAAGTACCTACTTATTTTAACAAAATTTGTGTTAAGCCTATTCCAAAGGAAAAAAATGTATCCTTTATTAATCTAATTAAGTTAAATTTCACTTACCAGTCTGTACTTTGTAAGGCATAGTTTCTTATTGTATTTATATATTCAACTGAGTTAATACACAAGTAGATATTAGGTAAAGATTGTTAATACGTAGAAATTGTGTATTATAACACAGATCATATAATACTATACTAGTAACTAGATGATAATAACCTAACCTTATCTTTACAAACAACAACTCATATTTACACTAGCAGGTAGATATTGTATATTATGTTAAATGTCATAATTTTTTAACTAGTTACTGCCGGCTTCGGACAGCAAGTATATAAATAAAATTATATCCGGATAACAGATCTATTAAAAACTATCGATTTGCCCCAGCTTCGCTCGGGTGCGTCCCTAGGTACGCAGTACGCTTTCATTTTTTTGAGCGGGACTCTAGCGGGAAACAAACAGGCAGACAGACAAAAAATTAAAAGTTATGTTTTTCTTATATGTACCGTATACGATTCATATGTGTTTGGCAGACAGAGACAAAAAATTTATAAATTGTGTTTTGCTATAAGTACCGTATATAATTTCAGTTGCAATTATTAAAAAGCTGTTATTTTAACATTACAAACAGACACTTTAATTTTATTTATCTGTATAGATTTCGAACGTAAGGCAAATAATTGCAGCCGGACAAGTTCAAGAGCAGAACCCTTATTTTTCATCCATGAGCAGAACTGCTGGGGCGTGAGCTTTCATTCACATCGCAATCTTGATCTCGGCTTCTCACAGGCATACGTAAATACACATTTTAAGATCGTTTGCTTATTATCGTTTGATGATATCTCGAAATTTTTAATTTAAAGCAAAACTTAGTTGTGCTATGACTTCAAAAAGGAGCAAATTATATATTTAATCATATTCCTGTCTGTTTAATAGTATTGATAATAATAATCATAAAAAGTCTATACTTACGTTTATTCTTTTAGCATTCATGTCTTTAACATCTTGAAGTTATACTTCTTTTGGCATGTTCGGAAAAAAAAATATGAGTAAAATTTTTACGATATGCGCGCACACTGACAGCCAAAAAGCGACATGATGAAGTTAGCTGAAAGCGACATAATCAAGTTGCTGCAAAAGAAGCTGCATTCCTTTTACAAACAGAGAGTTGTGACATACGGGATGTAATCTTTAGCTATTTTTGTTCTGTTACGCCAAAGAAAAAAAGGCAGTGGTAGCCCAGTGGTAACGCGCTCACTTGGGAAACTGAGTGAAGCAAGTTCAAATTCCCGGGTCTCGCACCTCTGATATTTTCATGTGCGAATCATTTCCAACAAGATTACCACTTGTCTTACGGTGAAGGAAAACATCGTGAGGAAAAGTGCATGTCTAAGAGAACCTTGCAAGTTTTCGAAAGACATGTGAAGTCCGCCAATCCGCACTTGGCCAGCGTGGTGGACTACGGCCTGATTCCCCTCGTATTGAAGGGAGTCCCGTGCCCAGCAGTGGGACGTTAAAAAAGGGCTGAACACACTTTAAAATGGCAATTTTATCACCATGGTTACAAATAACATCTCTACCAAATAAGAAAAAACAGATTTTTACAATTGATTATTTTATTAAAGATAAATAAATTATTCACTAAAAATGCCAATTTTAGTTAAAGATTATACATGGATTCAAAGTTCCACTAATATTCACGTAAGAGTCCCTATTGATCCAGTTTATAGAGAAAAGGTGGATTTATTTACAAGCGATTGTTATATAAAGGCGAACTTCAAGCCATTTTTATTTGAAATATTTTTATTGCACGATGTAGATATTAATAAAAGTAAATGCATAATAAATAATGATATGATTCAACTAGACTTAGTCAAAAAAGATGACTGTGAGTGGAGTGAATTAGAGAAGCAATTATCTAAAGAAGAAAAGAAGAACATAAGGGAAAGTGTCTTAAAAGAATCTCAAAACAAAGCTACCAAAGATGCTGAAGAAAAAGCGATAAGAATAAGCCAATTAAATAGATTTACAGTTCAACAAGCAATGGATATTGATAGTAGACAACACGCCGTAATGGATTCTAGAAGAAATGAGCATTGTGAAAAAGCCATGCAGAATTTGGAAGAATGGCGAAAAAATAAAAATGAAGAGGGCAATCAAAATTTAAGTGTATCATATAAGTCTGGGGTTACAATAACAGAATTACCATCTTCTGATGAAGAAGTTCCTAAATATGCAAAACCAAGAAACCAATCACAAAATGTAAAGAAAAAAGTTGAGAAGAAGAAAATTAAATCTGAATATATAGACAAAAAAAAGAATGAGACTGCTAAAAGAGTTTTACCACAACTTAGGAAAATGGCCCAATTAGAGATAACGCATACGCCACGATCTTTTCCCACCCCTACAAGAGAATCTACTGCGGCAGAAGAGGAAGCATGGATCAAAAATATTACCTTGGCAAGACGGGCGAGCGGTAATTGTACTAGTGTCTAGTATATATAATATTGCTTTTATTTTTATACGTTGATCTCAACGTGGTTCATTTAATTATTTTAATAGTTTTAAGAACTGGATTTCTACGTCTAGGTTTTAGACGCTCCTATATGGAGCTAGGATGGCATGTTTCGTGACTGTAGACTAAGTAGAAAGGATGAAATGACAGGCAATAAGTTGGTCTTATAAAGATACTAGCATTGCCCGCGGCTCCGCCCGCGTTCAGATGAACAAAAACGAAATTCTTAGTTTTTACTTATTAGTATACTCTTACATTGCTGTTTTTTGTATTTTTTCCCAAAAATGAGATATTTTCCCGCTGTAAAAAGTATCCTATATGTTGACCCGGATAACCAGCTATCACCATACCAAATTTCATCAAAATCCCTCCAGTGGTTTTTCTGTGATGCTGTAACAGACAGACAGACAGACAAAAAATCTAAAAACCATAGATTCGGCCTCTGTATTGATAATAATGTCTATTTTAATAAGATTTTCCAAAAAATATTTAATGTACAGATTCGGCTTAGTTACAATTTTATTATATGTATAGATTTCGTAGCTTTATTTTGGGAAACTGGTAATTTGATTAAAGGTAATATTAGAACATAATTTATATTCACGAAAAATATTCTTTTTTCAGGTTTTGTTTCAGAAGATTTGCGTCCCGAAGAGCAAGACCCTCAATGGTGTAAGGAGAAAGGAGACGAATTCTTTCGAAATGGCAACTTTTTGGGTGCCATCAGCGCATACACACATGGAATTTCTCTTTCGGACAAGCTGCCCAGTTTGTTCTCCAATAGAGCTGCCGCGCATTTCGCTTTGGGAAACTTTAATAAATGCGTAAATAATTTCGAGCCTGATACAATAACAAAATTTGCATCCCATATTTTTCAAATATCTATTTTAAATTTATTTTTTGCCTACTTTTGTTGTCAGATGGTAAATTAATGGACAATTTTTTAAAAACATTAATTTACTCTAAAAACATTAACTTATTCATACATTTCCAAAAATTTTACTTATTTTATTTTCTAGGCCAACGATTGTTCTACTGCTCTTGATCTCATGAAGCCAGCATGTGAGGGAAACAGACAAAGCCGAGGAAAATGCATCGCCCGCAGAGCGGCTTCTCTCGCGCGCTTAGGATACTTAAACAAAGCTATAGACGAAATGAAAGCAGCCTCGAAATTGCTTCCAGAAGACGATAATATTAAGCAAGACATTTACGATATGGAGAGGGCCTGGGAGCAAAATCCAGATTCTGATTGAAAGATAGTTTTATAAACGTATTAATATATTTAAACAATAAATTATATTCCGCAACAATGTTAACCGATCTGTTTTGTCTAGAAAACCTTATATTATGTTATAAGAGGCAAAAATGAAATAATAATTGTATTGCGAATATTATAATAGAAATACAACAACTAAGATAGATGTTTTGTCTTTATTCCTCTACAATTTTTTTGGTGAGCCCAAGATTGTTAAGTAGGGCGTGAGGCGAAGGATCTCTGCCGCGGAATCTTCTAAACACTTCACTCGGGTGGCAGCTTCCACCTGTCGCGAGGAAAGTGTCTTTATACCTCTTTCCAATAGTCATTACATCTTGATCCCCCTCTCTAGCCTCATCAAATGCGCTATAAATATCAGCCGCGATCATTTTCGACCATAAATGGCAATAATATGCAGCGCCCCATTCTTCAGAAAATATTTTTGTGAATGAAAGCGGATGTGAATCGTATTTGTCGAAAGGCAATGCGTTGTATTGCGGCCACAGTTCTTTCACGAGATCTCGCCAGAATGTCTTTTTTGAATGTAATTCTAAATCGAGCCGAGATAAATACAATTCTTTACATAAATCGTATCCAGACATGTGCCTCCGAATGTTTTGCAAGTTTGTAATAATCTCATCTGGCAATGGTTCTTCTGTTTTATAGTGCCCGCTGATAGCCTGTATAGTGTGCGGGTCATACAGCCAATGTTTCATTACTTCACCACAAACTTCTGCCGCGTCCCATTCAACATTAGAAAGCCCAGCCACTTCAGAATAGTTTGCTTTTGTTAGTAAATGCCGAAGCGAGTGCCCAAAACGTTTAAAGAGGACATTGACTTCTTTAAATGAAAGTAGTGATTGCTGGCCATCGGATGGTGCTTGGAAATTGAAAATTAGAGCAGATAATGGTTGGGTATCCGCAACAGAGCTCTTATTTCGAATCGACACGTGCCATCCTGCATCGTCGTACACTCGAATTTTTTCATCCTCTCTAGCATATGGATCTAAATAAAATCCGGCAATGGGTCTATTACTGGAATCGTCGTAAACATCATAAAACTTAACGTCTTTATGCCATGTGTAAATGTCTGATCTTTCAACTATTTGTATTTTAAAAAGTGCACTGCATAAGTTAAAAAGGCTGTTAATTACTTTAGGAAGTGGGAAATATTCTCTTATTTTATTCTCATCAAAATTGTACAGAGACCATTTTTCTTTTCTCTGCCAGTATGGAATATCCCACAGTTCTAATTTTTTGTCAAATCCTCTGTCTGCCGCAAAGTTTTGTAATGAATCAATTTCTAAGTCTTGAATAGGTCGTGCAATTTCTAACAGACCATCGAATATGTTGAAAATATTTTCAACTGATCCAGCCATTTTAGTTTCCATACTCATATCTGCGAATGAGTCATAACCCAATATTTTTGCTTGCTCCATGCGTAAGCTTCGCAAACTTTCTATATTGGTACTTGTTTCTAAGTCCTTATTGCCATATCCTGAACAACGTTGTACTAGTGCTTGCCAGGCATTCCATCGTAAGCTTCTGTCAGGACAGTATTGCATAAATGGCTCATAAATATGAGGTTGCAGAGTAATTTTCCATGGACCTTTATTTGCATCATTATTAACAGACATAGATTTAGCTAAGCTTTCAGGAAATTCTCCAGCAAATTGTTCATTATTTATAATACTACTAAAATTTTTGGTGGCAACATTAACCTTATCTCTGATAAGAGCTTTTTCTTTTCTTATTTCATTTAAAACATTATTAAGCCTTTCCCGCTTAATGCCTTTTACATCTAATCCGTTAAGTTTCCCTTCTAGGATATATTTGTCTAAGAGCCTTTGTTCTTCATCAGTTAATTTTTTTAATCTATTTTTTTCATTAACTGCAGCATGAAAGATAGGTATGCTGTTAAATTTTGATGATCTTGCTTTGTGTGCTCTTTCGTGAATTTGAATATATGACTTTGTAGGCATTAATGAACTATTTCCTAAGTACAAAGTTTTTGCCATTCCCCATGTTAGCTCTAGCTGACTATCAAGCTTCTCTAGTGGTTGAAAGATTTCTGTAAATGCATTTTTGCAATTTAAGCTCGATTCTTCCACCTGTCTTACTCCATTCTCGTATTCCATGCTTTGTTTACTGATAGTAGCAATGCACTTCTCAATCGTAATATCGTTAAATTCTGGCAAGCCATTATCTGATAATAAAGTGTTTTTATCTCCATCTTCCCCTATTTCTGGAATACTGAAAAGAATTATATTTTTAGCATTATATTTTACTAATTATTCATTCATTCATTCAAAAATATTATGAAAAAAAAAACATTATAATTTTATTATGTTTTTTAGTTACATTAATTGCGTATTTACGCATTTTATAACATAATCTATACATAGGTTCTTAAATATTTTTAAGTGTATGTGTTAAAGTAAGTAAAGACATTGCATCATAAATATTAAAAAAATATAATTCTATATATCGAATAAGAGTCAATACTATAGGGTAAAGAAACAATTTTAATCTCAGAAATTATATATACATTTTTAAAAAGGACATTAAGGGCATCTTTAGAAATAAAAATCAGAATACACTTACAGCACAACATATCCTGAATTACGTTTGTTTTGATAATATGGCCGTTTTAAATTTCGGGTTATTACATTACTGCGTAAAAATATAGAAGCCATGTTGGGAGTAGTATTCTTTTTAATAATTATTTCATAATATGTTTTAAGAATTTAAGCCGATTCTGAAATCTGAAGAACATATGATATTGACAGTTGCCTTTTTTTGTTGCACAGATTAGGTATTTAAATCACAAGTTTTTAGTACAGATACTGAAAAAACTTGTGATACCATATAAAAAGCGATAAATCAGCGTAAATATTTTTTCATTCTCATGTTATGAAAGTGAAGAAATCCCTAGCAAAAATATACATTCTATATACACAGTGTTAGAGTCTGGCTAACGAAAGCATGACCTGAGAAAACGCGGCAAATTCCAAAATCTTTATGTGGTATTCCTAACTATGTAAGATTTTGATACTTGAGTATTTTATGTATTTACGACAATCAATTTGGATAATAGTTGTTTACGAACTTGAATTCTAATTTAAAAAACACACCACGTCTTTAGAAATTCCGAAAGTTTTCTAATTCATATCTACATCATACTTTACAATAGAAAATGTCCGATCCGTGCTTCAAAATTAAGTAATCGTAAAGTTGTTTCATAATTTGATATACATTTTGATCAATTTATTGTAAACAACTCGAATCTTATATCAGTAAGTATACACGTTTCACGTTATATGTATGTACCCATTAGTTTATACATAAAAATATATACAGTTACTAACAACGCTTAAAACCAGAGCATGGAGGGTAGATCCTCCATATTCGATAACCCACCAATAAACCAGAGCAACCAGAGACTTTGAAGTTTGACGTGCCTTTGACAGCTTAACAATGTTGCCATATCAAAACTTTTAAGAAAACTCCAGGACACGCCTTCGTTTGACAGACTGTACATTTTTTTAAAATAAGTAATTCATCCATGCCATCGTCTTTATTAATTTAATTTTAAGATTGTCAGTTCGGATTTACGAGTATGTTATATCTTGGCGTATATTACATTAACAGATGTAGCTCAAAGATGATCCTAATTAAATTTAAACTATCATGAATTAAAGTATGATATTTAATTCGACGGAATTTTGACATTTCAGAAGTGTTGTCAGCTTCGATACATTGTCATTAAAAACGGAAAGCATTTCAGCACAATAAAATATAAACCTTTCAAGAATTTAAGGTTTCAATTAGAAAAACTAAGACTTACAAAATTATCAATAACTCTAAAATGGTATATTTTTTTATTATCATGTTATTGAAGTTACAGTAATTATTAAGGAAATTATTTTTCTATTATAGAAATCCCTGTCCAATAATACATAGGTTGCAGCCTTTTTTAGGAAAACCCCTTTATTTGTAAAATCTTTGCAATTGGGAAAAAGAATTGGAAAATATTCCCAAAAAAGACAGGTCCACAACGATCGTTCACAATTTTTTATTATTATTTGTGGCAAGAATGCATAAACCATATTATTAAAGAAGAGGATAAAATGTGCCCTCTTAATGATCTGATGGATAGTGTGTGTGATTCTTTTATAATCCGAGTGGATGATGATGACGACAATGATGATAAAAGTAACAATGATTAATAAATATTATTATATCTTACATTTTGTTTTAGTCTGTTTTTTCATTTAACCATTAAAAATTCACATTATAGTTAGTGTGCATTGAATGCACAAAACTAAGACTATTTACAATGTCATACATATAATTTACTTGACCTAATTCTGTTTTTTGTTATTTTATATAAAAATAATTCAAAGCAAAAAAGTTTTATGATATCTGTATTGTCAAAGAATGACAGCTGTCATATATCCGTGGAATTAAAAATAGTATCATTTATGGGTATTTCTCAGCGCCTTAAATTTTCGATTTATGGAGGTATATCTCTGTATCCAGTAAAAAAAACAGTCTGTGCACCTTAGACTTTTATCTAACTGGAACCAATAACGTTTGTATAATAATTGAATTCTAAATGTATAAAAAAAATCGTTTGAACCTCGTTCTTCTGATTCATATGATGTACCGTTCCTCTTTATTCTGAACAAAATTATAAATAATGCGTAATTTTTGAAAAAAAACAATATACATTATAATCATATCGAAAGAAGATTAGTTACCTTTTAATAAATAGAAGCGTGTATCTTAAAAAAAATGTTACTTATGTCTACGTTAGTTTACTTATTATAAATAAACAAATAAAAGATCTCCGGCATAAAATTCTGAATAATGTGCTTCGCGCTTCACTCGACCGTACTCGACGAAATGCAAAAAGTGAGACCATCACTACCCGCGCGGGGGGTAGTCACTAGTCAGTTGTGCGAAAAACGGCCCTGAAAGTGAATGTGCGGCCAGTTCAGCGTTGATCCGGAAACACTAACGTAAGTATTTCATTCAGGTGGGTTTCAGATTAATATGTCTAGTTTACAAATTATGTTATAGAGTTTTAAAAGTTGAAGCTATGCCCTAAGAAATACGTTTGAGTTATAGATTTTTGTGGTTGAATGTGAATACCGATATAAATATGTGTCACAGGTAATCAAAGATTTTAGGCAAAATTCTGATTTATCTGTGTCTGATTCATGGGTCAAAAACCCATATGAATCATAAAATGGTACATTTTGTTTAAGTTATTGATACAATAATCATTAGGAGTTCAGGCATCACGACACCGCAAAAGCGACACGGCGACAGTACTAGTAGTAAAAATAGAATTTAACTTTGTATTAAATTTCCGATCCAATTTTTTTTATTTTGTAAGGTTTAGGATCACTTACTGAGTATAAAATCACAAAATGCTGACAGATTCCGATGGAGCTTCAAGCGCCATCTTGAAAAAACTTTTTTGGCCGATATCTCGGAAACTATGCACTTTAGGGCAAATGTTATTGCATAGTCCGAGAATGTCCGAGAAAGTCCGAATACATCAACGCGAGTTGCGTTGCGACCAAAATAACTTGAGCTCTGATTTAATTACATTTAATGAATTTGGAAATTAAAATTCACTTACCTATAAAAATTGATGCAATTTTTTTTTCAAATTATATGTTTGGCTACTATTTCCACACCATTTTATTGTACATTGAGCCTTGTTGCGCGTCTGTTGTATTTTTTGTGTCGGAAATTCACGAGTCTCAAGCAATGTGTTCGCAGGTCACGGATGTGGTCGCTACTAAACTAAATCGCGCCATCGTTTTCTCAAGTCAGACGTATTTGTCTAACGTGTTGACTGAAAGTGTTCGCCTTGCGTGTGGTGTCTATCGGGCTAAGTAGTCGTTGGTGTAATGACACATTTGTCAATGGTATGACACTCTCTGGTATTTTTGGGATAATTATGTTTTCACCAGTGATAACAAATTTAAGTTTATTGAGTTGTGAAGTTTATTAGAGTTATAATTTTCTCATCAATTTACGAAGTTTCTACCCAAAAACTATTATCTTTAGGAAGGCTGAGATCTCGATGGGCTATATCAGAATTATTTTCATATTGGATTCGTGCAGCAAATGTTTGGCTAAATCGATTAAAGACCTGCACGTAGTTTTCTTCGATGTAACTGGTCTCTTTTTGTTTGAACGCTTCACATTTTCAGTTCTATGTTGGTTGTCAATGTCTCCTAGGTTATAATAAACGAATATTTTGGCATAAGGACATGCATTCGCTTTTTATAAACAAGCGTCCAACTTCCAAGTTGCAACTATGTTTTCTCATAGCCTGAGAATCACGTTCATTGGCACTCCATACGACCTGATGTAAGTTCATGGTCCCACGAAATTCCTTTAAGTTATAAGGAATCAGAATATTTTTCTCTAATATACCTGACCCGTCGACATCTTCTAATAATACACCTGGACAATGGTCTTTCAGTTGCTTGACAAGGGTTTTAATTTTTGAAATGTCATTTACTCTGGCGATTGTTTGGTCTGCAGTTCATTTTAGGACTCCTTTGATGCCATCGGCAGCACCCATTCCGTACCCCTTTTCCGAATGATTACACACTAATAATCATAAACTTAAAAGTACCAATCATCTGTCATAAAGTACACTAATTGTATTAATTTATTATTTTTATATTGCAGTATACAACAATGCCACGAACAAAACTAACTAAAGATGAGAAAAAAGAAAAAAAGAGATTTGCAGAACGTATTAGGATGGAGAAAATAAGAAAGGATCCAGAAAAGTACGCGCTCTGGCAACTCAAGATGAAGGAAGCCTATTTGAAAAGGAAGAAAGAAGGTAAAATTATTTCAGTACGTGATTTGACACCTACAGAACGGAAATTAGCTAGGGAAAAAAGCAGGGAGAGCTCAAGAAGATGGTATGATAAGAAAAAATTGAAGGAACGTATCCAATCAGAACATGAAGAAGGAGAAGAAGAAGCAATCGTTGAAATTAAGACGGAAGACACCGGAACAGAAGACGCATTAAATTTGAGTTCCCATGAACCTGAAGTAATTTTAGGTCTGCCAAGGCCATCAAAATCGCCTTCACCAATAATTCCACTATCATGTTCACCAATGGTTCTCAGGGCGCGATCCCCAAAATCGTATGTATCACATAATTCATGGTCTCCTAAAGTGCTTTCCACAAACGCTCTAGTAACTGATTCACCAAAGCTTCTCGGAGTTCGTTCTTCAATATCTTCAGTGTCAGATTCATCAGGATCTATCAGGGCGGCTTCCCCAATAACTACAGCATCTTGTTCACCAAGATCTCTCAGTCCACAAAGCAGCACCTCACTGATAAATTTACCAACGCGCCACATCGCAAACTCAAAACGCTTCAAAACAGCTCAACCGAAAATTACAGTTAAGAAGAAATCACACTGGAAGCATCTTTTACACAGATTTCGATACAGATTTAACAAAGAGCTGCAATTAAAAGAACAAAAAATTTTAGAACTTAAAAAAATCAATGAGAATTTTAGGAAGAAGATAAAACGTTTGGAAGCTTTATGGAAAAGTAAAAGGTATGAAGAATCCGTGCAGACAAGAAATACGAGAAACCAATCAATTCGAAAATAACAAATCGCGTATTGAGTCTCCCTGTTCTAAAATTAAAAAAGACGTCATAAAGTTTTTAGAAAAAGATGACAATAGTAGAATATGTCCATGAAAAATTATTACAAAAGGAAAAGTAAAAAGACAGAAACGATATCTCACCGAGACTCTGCAGCATTTACATTAAAAGTTTCTTGAAATTTGCAATCCCCAATACGAAATAAGTTACAGTAGCTTTTGCAAGCTTCGTCCATTTTGGATATGGGACTTAATTTTTATGAATAATAACGAAGATTCATCTCAAAAGTGACATTGTTAAAATACTATTTAGACTGTGATATATGAGATTTTTGTAAGAGGTATAATATTTTACTGCATAGCCAGTAGCACTATTATTTCAATTTTTTTTATTATAAAGACGAGAAAGATATCAAGAGTACCTACCTTAATACCTTAATTAGTACTGCTGTGATTTTTAAATTGTATAAGATTATAGATACATACTTAAACTAAGATATATAAAACTAGATTATAAGAAGACTAGCATTGCCTACGGCTCCGCCTGCGTTCAGATGACCAAAAAGCAAATTCTTAGATTTTACATATTAGTATACTCTTACAATGCAGTTTTTGTATTTCTTCTCAGAAATGAGATATTTTCTTAGGGTAAAAAGTATCCTATATGTTGACCCGGATAACCAGCTATCACCATGCCAAATTTCATCAAAATCCCTCCAGTGGTTTTTCTGTGATGCGGTAACAGACAGACAGACGAAAATTCTAAAAACTATAGATTCGGCCTCTGTATCGATAATAATGTCTATTTCAATAAGATTTTCCAAAAAATATTTAATGTACAGATTCGGCTAAGTTACAATTTTATTATATGTATAGTTATAATTAGCGCTATGTTCTGCCAAATCTGCGCAGTGAAACATTCGACTGAATTCGCTCGTTGAAATGAATCATGATACATAATACGTTGCTTTAGATTAATTAAATAACTTTTATGCCGTAACATTGAAATTTGAAATTACCCTATGAATAAATGAGTAATAATGAAACAGACTCGTTTTTTTTATTTTTATTCCTGTTTTGATTCATCTGGCAAGAATTTTGATTCATGAGGGCCCTAAAATCTTGAAGTCAAATATCTCAAAAATTATTTGATTAAAATGAGTGCGTAATTCAAATATATGTTCTTTGACATGTCTTTGATCATAAGAGTATGTTGAATACAGCCAAAAGTGAAAATAATGTTTGACCAGATAAATCAGACTAAGAACAAAATCTCTGAGAAATACCCTTATTATTTTTAATTCTATTAAAGGGTTCTTTTCATAAAAAACGGAAATTATGTTGAAATTTTATTTTATTACTACAAATTCCACTTTTTCATTATTTTTATCTATAATTGCAGCTACATCTTCTTGTAAAGATACATTAATCATTTGGCAAGAACATAGTGCGTTGCAGTCTTTACAGTTTATTTGGCTTCTTTCGTGATCTTCTTGGTCCGAAGATTGTTTTGTTTCTTTTACAGGTGGATTGCAACAGAATTCTGTATCTAAGCCCATTCGCTCGCCATCTTCTAATGTTTGTGGCAAATGCTGATTTAATGTTTCTGGGAGAAGCAAACTCGCAATACCACCAGCCACTAATAATGCACCCATTATGATTAACGGTAGAACCATAATGTCAGAGCCCTGTAAGAAAAAATATTATAATTACAACATTTTATAATTTGCTTAATTTTTTTTTGACGTACAAAACACTTTACAAAAATATTAGGACGCTTATAAACCAGTAGGTAATATACTATTTTTTTATTAATTAAAATAAAATATCCTTGCGCAGTTTAGTAGGTATATATTGATTATTTACTGTAAAAAAGATGATAATCATACTTACCAAATAGTTTACTAATGGAATAAATATCGGCCCAAGCATTCCTAGTACTGAGCTTAAACTCATGCCGAGGCCTCTAACAACGGTTGGATATAATTCAGAAGCCATTAAAGGCAACACCACAAAAGCCGACGATATTCCCATTTTGCCAACGCAGTAGAGAGCAAGAGTCACATTTGTTTCTAGAAAAAAATAAAGGGAAGTGAATCAATGTAAATTTCATTAAAGAAATCAAAGTATTTGTTGTCAAAGACATTAACTGTAGTAAATGTTCACAGAAGCTTACCATGCTGTACCAAAAATGTAGTCAAACAGGCAACACCGCCGACCACCATACTCATGCACAATGTCCAACGTCTACCTAATCTTTCCATAGAGGGCCATAAAAACATATACGTAGGTAGCTCAACTACACCAGCTAAGAAAAAATTTAGAAATTCATCACCTCCAAGAACTGGTGCATAGTACGAGAGACCAACATACACACTTGTGTTTGTAAACCAAATAAACGTGATAATGATTGTTTTTTTCCTCAAATTTGGTGTTCTGAAAAGGTCTAAGATTCCGTATTTTCGTGATTTCTCCTTTTCTAAATCCGCCTTAAGTTTGTCCGATTCGTATTTTCTTCGTAAATGCACCATGTAGTTTGCCGGTAAAGATTTACCATTTATCCTAAGCGAAATATGAAAAGATATATTACAAACATCTCATTAATTTATATATAAATTTAAATACTTAGGTATATTCATTTATACATTAACAACAGTAAGTATTGTACCAGTATACCAACCTGGCCATATTCTTTAAGATGACTTCTGCCCTTTCGAATTGCCCCCTCGCTAATAGCCATCTGGGACTTTCCGGCATTGGCCATAGATAAATAAAAAAGCAGGTAAATGGAAGCGTACTTGCTAATGCTAAATAACGCCAATCTCGAACCAAGTAGACTACACCGGCCAGCAAAATTAATCCCATCGAATACGCAATATTTGATAGAATAGTACATAGTGTCCGGCTATTAGGACCTACAAGTTCTATTGCTGTAATTAGAGAAAATAATTTAAATAAAAATAGTTTGTCCATTTCCCTAATAAAGACATTTGACAGATTGTAGGTTTGAAACAATACAAACCCAAAACGTAAGGTGTCGCCATGATGGCAGGTACAGTAAAACCGACACCAAATCTGTAAATGATCCATATATAGTAATTCTGTGCAAACGCCGTTGCTACACCGAAAACACATTCTATTGCCAAATAAATAAAGAAGGAAGGCTTTCTCCCAAAAGTGTCTTGAAGGTATCCGAAAATATAATTTCCAATTATACCGCCAACTGCCAGCAGCACCAAGCCAAGTGTAGGGAAGAAATCCTTGTTGCATACCAAATCCCACTGCAATATAAAATGCATTAGGATTATCTATATAGTTCTACTTCCGGTTTTTAAATATTTCTTTGAAGAGACTTATTGAGATGATTGTTTAGTTCAGATGAAGTGATTTTATTTTGGCACGAATTACCCCGATGTGATGCGAATATAATGACTAACCTCCGTTACAACTGTGTTCTTGTATATATTCTTATCATACATCCATCCATCAGTACAAGGAGTTATTTCTGCGAAATCACCTATTTCAATATCTGGGTAGCTTTTCAATAGTTCACTATAATTTAAGTTGTACATGCTACATTGGGAGTATTCGAGCTCACCATTTTTGAGCTCCAGTGGGATGCTGAAAATATATTATCATTTATTAAAAAGGATAATGTTCCTTATTTAGTTTTTAATATTTAAATGCTTTTTTATTATTTATATATCTTCCAACTCCTAGTGTTCAATCAGATGTAGTTTCATGTGTATATGACGCATATTTTCACCTGTTTAGAACAAGCCGACTATACTCCTAAAGGTCGCAATTGCAAATCGCATTCATCTACAGGATAAACTTATCAGTATTTTCATTTCAGCACAATAAGATTTACAGGTATACCTTAAGTTTTTTATAAGTTCTACATTCTCTAGATGTTCTAACTCAGGCACTCTGCACCAATGTTTGACATCCGCTGCCATGAAGAGCTGCGCATACGCATGAAACCCGCAAGGAATGACCGCCGGCAGCAAGATAAAGTAAATCACCAATTTCTGATACCGGCCGAATGTACCGACGTCCTCTAATATTGCATCAAAATCCATATTTCAAATTGTCTAAAACTGTGGATGAGTCAAATCGAAGAGGTCAAATCGAGGAAGTCTGCCTCAATCTGCGATTCTGTTTTTCCAACGTTTCTAAGGATAGGATAAAAAATTGCTTGATACGTGATTGTAGATTACAATTAGCTACTTATAATGTGATTATAAATATAATTTTATTAAAAATAATTCGGAAACTTTAGTTTTAAAACTACATTACATTATGTAAACGTTAACATTTAGACAAATTACTAACTAGGAATATTTACAGGAGATTATGCTTAGTTTTATAAGAATAATGGACTAGAAATACAGGCCACAAATCGCACCGACGTAGAATGATCATTTAGAACTAAGATACTTACCTAGCGATTAGAGTGAACAGTCGAAGTTAATTATTTAGGGTTAGAAGCAGTCCTCGTCGCCGAGCATGGGCCGGGCGACTGTTACCGTGTACGAATAAGTAGAGTACTATACTCGGACCCTAAGCGCTACCGCTTTCGTGTACAGTGGGATTCAAAACTATTATTTTCCGGAATGTTTAATATTCTAAATGTTTTGGAAATTGTAGTATTTTAGTATTATCTATACAGATAAATAAAGTTGATGTCTGTTTGTAATGTCAAAATAACAGCATTTTACTAAATGCATATGAAATTATAAACGATATTTATAAGAAAAACACATTTTTTTATTTTTTTTCTGTCTGTATGTTTGTTCCGGATAATCTCTGGAATGCCTGGACTGATTTTGACGGGACTTTCACTGGAATATAGTTGATGTTATATGGAGTAACATAGGCTACTTTTATTTTAGAAAAAGAATTAGGGTTCCGCTCAAAAAAAATTTAACCTACTTAAAGTTGATTGAGCTGTACCTATATTTGGATCGGGAGTAACAGTAGGAAAATTGTACTTTTGAGATTTATTTTGAAAGAGAAACTGCTATACTGATCACCCATCCTCTCTTCTTCTTTCTCTTTCTATTTCACTCAAGTTGTAATACGCGAGTGTCCTTGTATGACAAACGTAGTCTTTTTTAACAATGGAAAATGTATTTACACAACCAACCATTTTAATTTAACCACCTGCATAAATGTAGGATGTTATGTGGGATTCAAATTCACCACTTATTAAAGCTAGTACTACCCATAATAACCCAACGGAATCATCCCCGCCTTAATGGGGCATCACAGTATCACTTATGCACCCTATCACGACGCCCTGGCGGATGGTTTGCCGAGGCAGACTACAACAAACATGGTTGCTTCCAAGGACCACTTTGCTATCAGAGATGGTGAGGGGATGAGGAGGGGTTGACATAGCCTAGGTCACTGTTTATCGTCACGCAGGCAATGTGCTTGCTTACCTCTATCTTTTTGGTATAAAAAAAAAATTAACGTAGAGTGAGATTTTGGTGTTTAGTTTTTCCATATGAAGCAAAATTACAAAACAGTTAGTAACTCACAGACTTACAGTTATAAAGTAAAAAATGCAACTTTCTTATATTTAAGACACAATTATTAGAGTCCAACACGATTACCACTTGTCTTAACGGTGAAGGAAAACATCGTGAGGAAACCTGCATGTCTGAGAGAACCTAGCAAGTTTTCAAAAGACATGTGAAGTCCGCCAACCCGCACTTGGCCAGCGTGGTGGACTATGGCCTGATTCCCCTCGTGCTGAAGGGAGGCCCGTGCCCAGCAGTGGGACGTTAAAAAGGGCTGAATACATATTAGAGTCCTATTTTCTCGGTTGTCTGTAAGAAATTGCCGTTAGTCATAAAGTCGCCTTTTCAAATCTGTTGTTTAGTTATAAGATCTTAAGTAACGTATATTTGTGCAATAAAAGAATTTTAGTCTTCATAATAAGTCTTGTGGTTTATGACTTTCACATGTACTACTCGTATCATCTTTTTCTGACATATATGAATATTTTAATTTAACTGATTTGAGTGTACGTAAATAAGTTTGATGACGATTTTTGGGATTATTTCGTCTTTAAATACGATACTTGTACAAAGTTAAAACATCGTTATTAATATCTGAAACATAAGGAGTAGTGTATTTACATCACCCAATATACATTATGGGATGCGTGTGTGCAATTATCTCATTCGTAGAGCGCAGTCAGTCAATTCGATTAGTGTATAATTGGAGCAGCGAAAGGCCAGCCTGACCAATCAAGGTCGGACTGGATGAAACAATGAGCAAAATCCATTGAAGACTGGCTATAGCGAAAATGATAAGGTTTTCAGAGGAACCACCAGTGGATCTGATGTAAAACAGGATAGCTCATATATATAAAAGGTTGCCAAGGCTCTGTCATGGTCGGTTTTGATTATTTGTAAACACATTCATTAGCTATATGTAATAGAATATACAAATTTGTTTGTAAAAAGGACCAAAGCGAATGCTAATGACATTATTTTCATCAATAATTACTTATTATGAAATTTCATCATCATCAATATTATCCAGATCTGACTTGTAATTCCGAGCAAAACCGATTTTTGTTTTTATAGACATTTTTTTCTGCTATGACTATATTTCTGAGAAGAATTGCAAAAGACCAAGTAAATTACCTCAAGATATGCTTTTAAAGGAGAATGTTTTGCACAAATCATAAAAAGGTATACGTAAAAAACCGTTAAATAAAAAAACATTATTATTTATAATAAACAAGTCTTTTAATTGCAAACATAATATTAACGATACATTGCGCTTATATTTTAACAAAAGTAACAGCCATACTTTGAGTAGGATCTCTTAAGATACTATATTTTGTGGCACAATTTCCTATACCATTCCGGATCATTTTTAGCCACAGTTTCTGGTCGTCCATCCTTGTGTCGGTAGTGGAACTCGGAGACGCCTCGTCCGGGCACCCCGTTGACTATAAACTTACAGAAACGTTCAGCCATCTTTGCGTCCCAGTCTTGGGACACGTAATGAATTGATTCATATTCAACCAAAACCTGTTTTAAAAAGAAAACTTTGAGTTTCTAGCTTTAAAAAATATGACTGCCTGCCAGTTAGAATTAAATTAGGGCATAATATTCCCCATATTTAGCGTTTTGATTCTATCCTTGCCTAAAAGCGAAAGTTAAATCGATCACGAATATGTACATTATTATGCGACATGAAATTTCATCGTCTTTAATTAATTAATTTATTTATTTATGTACCAGAAAAAAAACATACAAGTGAAAACAGATGCCATGTGTACAAAGGATGACTTATCTCTTTAAGAGATCTCTACCAGAAACCTTCAAGCGTGAGAAAATATAAAAATAATACTTGTTAGTTTCTAAAAAAAACTTTGAATCCTATGTATCGAAAATATGTGTACCTGGACTGTATACACTTCATCTCCTGCTTGGAACCTAAAAGCGTAGTCTCGAGGCGCCACACCGCCTTCACCGTGTTGGTACAGCTTTAGGTCTACCCACTTTATGGGTAAAACATCACCATTGGGTAATCCAACCAGACCTGCCTCTATACTGAAATTTGAAAACATAAAATTTATTTATAAATATTTAACGTCCTCTCTTTGCCCAGGCCTTACTGCATTCATAATTTTAAAACTTTTAAAAAATATAATCTATCCCACGGGAATAACTTCAAGTTTCTGGATAAACTATGCTTTCCAACCCATTAAATATATTGAAAATATGGCAAAAATATTCTTTTGTAATAATAATCTTAATAAGGAAATTGAATATTCTGATTGTAAATACAAAGTAAATAATTTAATTCATTAAAAAAGGTAAGTACCTAATTATTAATTTTCATGTACAATATTTTATATTAGTAATTATTTTTTATACAAAAACAAAAGGTACACGGACTTAAGAATCACTTAACAATAACTATACTACCTTTAAAGCGGTGGACTTTTTAAAATTCATATATGACCAGCTTAAGTTAATCTGTTCATCAAAAAAATATATATAAAAATCGATTCGCAATCGGCAAAATTATCGAGCAACATTTACAAAAAAAATACAGCCGGATTGACTTCCTTCTCTTTTTTTCAAGTCAGTAAAAGTAGTGCATTTCAAATTATATGAATAAATATTAATTTATAGTTGTAAAACATATTGACTTAAATTTGACTGCATACTTTGTAGCGGTGCAGGGCTGACAGACAACCCCTACACTGATGCTGGTACCGTCTTCTACGAAAATGTGATGAAAAGCGTATCGATGCATTAACGTCCAATCACGAATTTGACCTATGAAATAGATTAAAAATATGTTTAACATATGGTTCTTTTTCCAGTTATCTTTATCAAGTATCTTTTTGAATACACATAAATTGTCAATAATTATTAAAATATTCTCATGATTCTGTTTGGCAACGGCCGCCAGTCTCATTGAGAATTGTAGATGCGAAACTCGAAATATATCATAGAACTAAAGCGCACAGTATTATACACTTGAGCGCAACCAGATGTACTCTTTATATATAATATAACTGCCTCGGTGGTGTAGTGGCTAGCATGTACGGCTACACACCCGGAGGTCCTGGGTTCGAGTCCCGGGTCGGGCCAAGTTTAGTTATTGAGTCTTCCTGTATAGTAAGTCTCAGTAACAGCCCGGAGTTGGGAAGTTGGCGGTGTTTCACCCCCGTGCCTCGGAGAGCACGTAAAGCCGTCGGTCCTGCGCCTTAACTCTCACCGGTCGTGTCAAGTGGTCGTCCCACCGGAGTATGAGAGTGATAGGAATAGAGAGTGCATTTGTGTCTGCGCGTACACTTGAGCACTATAATATCTCCTGCGCAGTTGGCTAATCTCATTGAGATTGGCCGCCGTGGCCGGAATCGGCTAGGAGAACATCACTCTTTATATTCCCTCAATCATGGTTCCAGTAGACCAGAAACCTATACGATCGATGAGATATCAGGCAGACAGATATGCTATCTCGACCCAATGGCTTTCTTTGTACAAATCAGGAAACGAACTGATGATAGTCACCGTTTTTATGGACGACAGTCAAAATTTAAATTCTGCCATAATTTTTAATATCTGTTGAAATTCTGCCATAAGACAAAAGGTCACTTAGTGATATTATTGTCATTAGATATTCTTACCAAAGCCATGGTCCCTGAACGATGGTAGAGTGTATTCAAATGATTCGTTTTCTATTGTGAATTTACATTTAAGCTTGCCGAACTGCTCGTAACGAGATTGGTGTGCTCTGTAATAAGATATATGTATTATTTTATATAAATATATGTACCATTTGTCTTGATAGTTTTAGTGGTTTAAAAATATTTCTAAGCTAACTTCTGTCTGAGTACTTAATGCAAACATTAATATTTTTGAGCATATTTTGGATTTGACCTCTTCCTATAAGAGACTTTATACTCGAGAGCTTCTGGATTTATAGATGAAATATTGGATTGCTAAAAAAATATTTTTTAGGTTAATAGAGGTATCCAATAAAAAAAAAAGGTATCCAATAAAATTCTTCAAAATCAATAGATACACAAGTTGAGAAATTGTATAATATAAACAGAAAGAATTAAAAAAAATAGATCACCCTCAAATTTTATTTAAATATTATACGTGCAGCAGATTTCATAGAAAATTGCTTTAAGCTCTTAGAGTATTACTCACTTTTTTAGTCCTTCGAAGTAATCCCGACTCCATTTTTCTCTAGCAATAGATCTGATGACAGCCAGCGGGTACAGATGGGTGTCGTAGTCAAAATATTTGCTCGTTGCTATCCATTCCCCACTGAAGTCTACTTCGACTATTTTACTTGGGTCGTTTTGATACCTAAAAATAATTACTAAATAATTAAAGTGGCTTAACCTTTAAATATTTTAGGTTTTCTTTAAAAAAGGACTTGGTTTTGAATAGTGATATTATTGGCTGATAATGTCCAAAAAAGGAGCCTGGTGTCATTTTTCGTGCAACAAATTATCTATATATAATACTAAAAATTATAACGAAAAATGCAGAATTTAGAGAATAGTAAATAGCTATTTTTTCTAATTTATACCTATACAGTTCAAAGGTAAAGAACAATATTTTTTATTATAATAATATATAAAAAAAAACTACATATTTATTTATTTATTTGTAACGTTAAAACTTCTGAAATAAAGGTAAATTTATGTCGACGCAGAAACTACGAGTTTTGTACAGTATATCAAAGAACTGAATGGTTACATTGGTAGCCCCCTTTTTAATCAAATAGTAAGATTTTTTTTTTCAATTTTTACTTCTATATAATAGAGTCAAAAACCCATTTTAATAATCAATATAAAAGTGTCAATAAGTACAAATAACGTACCACATGGGCCCTTTGTAATATACAGCCCACTTCTTCATAGGCTCTAAGGGGGTAATTTTAATGCCTTCAGCAGCAAATTCGCCGATCGGTGCGCCGAATAACACGGTATCTGGTAGTTTCTTACTGCATAGGAGACCTTTACCGGGCAACTGTAGAGGCAATAAAATATAAAAACTTAAAAATAACTGTCTTAAAAAAACACTAAAAAGCAAAAAATAACTGATTGGTTGTTTCCTATTACTATAGATACCTAATCAGATATTTATATAAGTCAGAATACTTTGATTTGTATCGATAAAAATTGTCCAAATCGGTTAATAAATCACGGAGTTCTGAGATAACAAACATAAAAAAAATACAGCCGAATTGAGAAACTCCTCCTTTTTGAAGAAGTCGGTTGATAAAAAGCAATACGATTTTTTTTAGACTGGTAATTCCTATATTATAATGTTCAAACCAAAAGAAGGTCTTATTAATATATTCTAAGCTTTATAGATTACGGAAGACTGAATTCGCCGATGGTTTTTTTCAGCAGAATTTTATTCCTAGCCACTAGAAGATTTCTGGATATCTTCGTCAATTATGATTTTCACGATATATTTACAAGATTTTATTAGTCAATAGGTTTTTATCCCAAAGATGCCATTAATTTCAAGAATTTCGTCCTTGGATCAAATAATTACTTTTAAAATGATATAGATGCCTGTAGCCTAACTAATATATGATATTTTTATTCACTTTTAGCTTCAATTATTTGGATACAGTACTTACACCAATATAAAATAGTCCATTGCACATGCCCATGGGTCGTCGCTCACAACCTGATATCACGTACACGCCCTTATCGCCCTCCTCTCTTTTTGATGCAATGAAGAACACCGCATCGAAAGCCTAGATAACATATTCAAATATATAAAATAAATATATTTCTATATCACATTCAAAATTGCATTTATAAATATTGTGTCTGATTTTCATTCTACTATTTCTGTGTTTTGCATTTCATTTGGCTTCGTTCGGGGGCGTCCCAACAGAAGGGGTCATACTCCAAATTATACTTAGTAAGTATATTTTTTCTATTAGTCTATTTCATCCAAATCCACATATATATTATTAATTATCTTTCGTAATTATAATTTAGTAGTCCGATAATAATAAGTCGATGTGTTCGGTAACCATTTCTCGCCTATTGTGAACAAGGTGATGTATTACAGGCACGTGTTCAAATTGATGAATGCACATAACATCATGAATTTTAAATGGAACATTTTCTATAAAATAAGCAAAATACTTTAGTTGAATAGATATAATACCTACTTTCCTACTTTACTGAACAGTTTTCCAAAAAGTCTAATTTTAAATTAAGTGAATAAATGATTGAGGCTAAGAATAATTTAATTCCATTTTTAAATAAATACTATTTTCAAAATTTTCATTATACAGGACTGAATACATACATATGTAGTTTGAATTTACCTTCGCATGTTCACTGAGGGGTTGTGCCCGATCCATATCTTCTAGATTGGCGACCGCCCTCACTCCCCGCCCTGCCCGGCCATCTGGACCGGCTGCCTTGTTCTTATTCGAGTACTATAACATAGGCATATTACAATTATTACTATAAGCTTTTTAAAGAGCGGCGGAAGATTATCTCATTTCCACGGGAAAACACGTTCTAATACAAGCCAAAAAATATTTATGATCAGAATTACTTGAAACTTAGTATTAATGTTCTTCAATAGAATTAAATAAAAATGTGTTTTAGCATTTTTGGAAATTCATCTCATAAGGGGGTAAAATAGAGGATGAAAGTTTGTAGGAAACCTAGAGTATTTTTTGTAAATTGTAGTTTTAGCGCAAGCGAAACCGTGGGTTCTGCTAGTGTATAATAATGCTTGACTTCTGATAGCTGTGTTAGGTTTCTAAAATTCTGAGTTATAATGTTATAATAACTGTACTCTAACAAATAATAAAAAAAACATTAAGTTATTACAAGCAAGAAATTTGTTTTAGGGTTATTTTTCGTAAGCTTTACCACGACCAGCTTATATTCAATATACTCGTAAGATATGCATTTTACAAAATAATTGCTACTTATGTACATCCATATTTACGCAAGTTAAGAACGCACTTGACCAATTTTTACTAACCGACTTCCAAAAAGGAAGAGGTTGTCAATACGCCGGAATCTTTTTTTTATATATGTTCACCGATTACTCGGAGCCGATTTTGATTTTTTTTTTGTTTCAAAGGGTATACTTCCCAGGTTGTCCCATATAAATCTTATCGCAAGCTGTCGAGCGGTTTTTTTAAAAAATCAATAAAAAATATATTTTTTTTTAAATAAATTGCTATAAAAAAACTTTCTTCTTACAAATTCCCTGCTATTACGTATACACTAAAAATTGAAAAATAAAAACTTAAAAAAAACTGACTTCCAGGCACTAAAATGTAAAAAATTACTAAACGGGGGTTTTCATTTAGAATATATATACCTAATCAGATATTTGCGAAGTTGGTGCCAGAGGATGTAAAGCAAATCTAATATATTTCGATACGTAAAGTAAGTACATATTTACATATTAGATATTCATATCTTAAAATATTGTCGGATGGCACCGACTTCGAAAATATCTGATTGGAAGTCGGTTTTTTTTATTTTTAAGTTTTTATTATATACATACTTTTTTGAAGATACCCCATAGATTTTGATGCTGATCTCCTTGGACATAAGAGAAACTGGATTTTACCAGCAATTATTGTTTAAAGATCTATATTCAGAGGAGTAGGTACTTAATTCTTTCATAATAGGTGTTTATCAATTAATATTTGAAGACGTTAGGTATTTAATGAAGATAACGTAATTTGACCAAAGTGCTAATGTATTAGTTAATAACAAAATAGATTAAAAAAATGTCTCGGGTTTCATGATAACAGAGTGTAACTTCTCCACTTTTCATCATACACTTGACCAAGACTCTCTTATAAAAACAAATGTTATGGACCTATATAAACACTTTTTCATTTAAAAACACGAATTTAATCAATTCATATATCAGATGAAATACATAATTTCGATAGAAATACCGGTATAAAGTGATAGCCTTTGTGCTGGGAATTGGGATTCATCTTTTTAAACTTAAGTTTAAATCAATTATTATTAATAATAATTAATTTATGTACTTAATTAAATCTGGGTTAATTTAAAACTCAAAGTGATGAGAAAAAAAATTTACAACTAACCATGTAATTTTAGTGAATAATAATATAAATAATATATATTTATTTTATAAAGAATGTGAAGTCATCAAGCTTTAAAGAAACGATACAGAAGATTGACAGAAGTTAATCAAATAGGCAAAATAAAAAAATAATAATTATGAACTTACCTTTCTATAGTAATAAAGACAGGAGAAAACAACATATTTAAGGTAATACCACTTGCCAGGTACTGTGTATACACCAAAAATGGGTTCCGGATCTTTTTTTCTAAGAAAAATAATAAAAAATATAACAAATACAGCCGCAATAGTCCAGTACAACATCTTGTTAGTTACTACCGAAGTACGAACACTGTGTTAATTATGTATATTGACTTGATAAGTGACGTATCTATTTGATAACGTGAAAACGAAATGTAAATATTTCGTTTTGTTGGTCAGTTTTATCTGCCCTCTTAAGTTACGTTATCTAATTTGTTAATATTTAATTAAAACTCGAAATTTATTTTTATTATAGAATACGTATTTTAAAATATTATTAATTCCAATTTGACTCCTACTCATTTTTTGAGCCAAAAATTTGTGAATCTTTATTATATAACTATGAATAAAAATATTAACATACAGCACCATCTAGTTCCATGGTAAATTACGAGGCTCGTGTTACGGATACCAGATAGTTGATACACTACACATATATAACTTTAAATACATACATATAACATAATATTATAAATATAAACACCCATGACTGGAGTACAAATTTTCGTGTCCATTACACAAATGAATGCCCCCAGCGGGACTCGAACCCGCGACTGCTGGCACAGCAATTAGGGTCACTACAGACTGAGCCAAACGTGTCGTCAAACTATAAAAAATATATATTAATGTTGTTATAATATTTATTCTAGATTTTTGAAAGTTGTAGACCTTACTACATATCTAACTGTTGAGCACGGGCCTCGCTTCAATACGAGGGGGGATCAGGCCAATTCAGGTCGAAATAAATAGCAACATTAACATGGCGAAATTGACGTGGAAAATAAATGAAATAGCTAAAACTCGGTATATTATTTATTATTTAAATACTCTTATACAATAAACACACGCATTCATAGTACTTATACCTACAAAATCAGAAATTATAAAAAATAATTAATATGATGAATACAATATTATAACAGTAATATTAAAGAAGGAATGAAGATGATTGTGTTGTGGCTATAAAATAGATATCTTTTCGACGGTCAACTCTTGGACTCGTAATTTATGTGGGCCTCACCAAAAGATAATTTATATAAGAGAAATTACAACTATCTTATTTAGGTACTTGTGTTTGATTTGAACAATTATAATCGGAACAAATGATGAATATCTATATATAATTATATAAATATTAAATAGGGCATATTTTTAGTACATTTTTCTCCCCTGTTTGTCAACCGAATTTTTTGTTCAGCTATATGACGAGCTTATGTGTTATCAATAAAACAAATTTTGGAATATTTTTTTTATATAGAGAAGTAAAATCTATTCGTATATATTTTCCTCAAATGTTTTATAATTATGGACGAAATTCGACAATTGGACGAACAATATACTTAAAAAATTAGGAAAACTGTGTAATGTTTCAATGTTTATTAAACTATAGTACGAGTACTTATTATACTACACAAACCTTTTCATCTTTGGTAGCACCATATTTACTTATATATGTAAGAAAAATATGCTCTTTACTTAACTAAAAGCTTACTTTTAATAATCGTTTAAAAAGTACTAGATACACAATCAGCGACAAAAAATGTCATCACCGAATGAGCGCTCATTTTAATATTCGAGCCCACTTTTGGTTAAAAAACTTTTTGTGAAAACAAATTTAAGCATTTAAGGTTCAATTTACATTGTTGTATATTTATTTCAACTAGAATAATTACCTAAACACAATTGGTGACAGTTTTTAGAGAACCTTTGCATGGGATTGTGTATCCTAGTACTTTTTTCCTCAATGCTTTTAACATATTAATTTTTCATTTTAATATTTAAAACATATCATAAGTAATATTTAAATGCAGGCAAATTAAATTTTAAAAATATCTAATCCCGACAATTTATCTGGAAATTAATAAATTTAAAGTTTATAAATGTATGTGATCTGAAAAAAACTATCACTTAGTCGATCCTATTATAGTGAGAATGAATAAGAAGATGTTAATAATGTCTAAATATAGGTTTAAAGCTGCAAAGATATATTCTTCAGGGGAGATGCTGTACTTGTGTTTGCCGCCCATCATGAGCTGAGTGTCGTACACGAGATACAGAGAGAATATCAGCGCTCCAGCCGATGCATATACTAGGTTTAAAATGTTACTCCGAATTATAATTGCGAGAATACCTGGAAAAAAATATTTATAAGTTTATTTATACAGATATATAAAATTGAAGAGTCTGTTTGTAATGTCAAAATGACAACATTTTACTAAATGCATATGAAAGTATACATATATGGTACATATAAGAAAAAAACTAATTTTTTTTATTTTTGATTTGTCTGTCTGTTCTGGCTAATCTCCGAAACGGCTGGACTGAATTTAACTTTTACCAGCAACAGGAGTTTTCATTTAGAATAGATACCTAATCAGATATTTTCGAAGTCGGTGCCAGCCGATGCAAAGCAAATCTAATATATTTCGATATGTAAAATACATATTTACCTATTAGATATTCATATCTTAATATATTATCTTATAATATACCCTTTGAAACAAAAATACAAATTTTTCCAAATCGGTTCAGGCGTCTTCGAGTAATCGGTGAACATACATAAAAAAAAAAGATTCCGACAAATTGAGAACCTCCTCCTTTTTTTGGGAAGTCGGTTAAAAAGTGGCGACCTGTGTAAGGTGTCTAAATCCAAGTGATTTTTTTTATCCACTCCATTATTTTTTTAAATTATTGGATTTTTAAGAATTATTTCAACAAAATTTAAAACCACATTACAATGTGTATACATACACAATACACAAAAGTCTAAAAGGATTGGAGATATGATCAATGATGATTACATAAATTGATTCAAAAGGTGTTGTAAAATTTTTCTACTTATTTCTAATACATAAAGCTCACCAAAAATAAAAAGAACTATAGTCGCGGCGACCAGCGCGCCTCCCATCATAGTGAAGTCCCATTTTGTTTGGAAAGCGAATATTGTCAAGCCGAGACAGACCGCGGCTGTTATACCGACCGCCATCATCACCTATTTTAACCAAAAAAATAAAGATACAAGTAACTAAACACATTTTTATAGTTACGTGTTTCAATATAAAAAAGGAACCCTTATTGGATCACTTCGTTTTCCGTCTGTCTGTCTGTCAAGACCATTTTTCTTAGAAACGAGTGTAGGTATGAAGTCGAAATGAATAACAAATACACAGGTCTCCAATTCCTTGGAGATGTGCAAAAGTTAAACTTCTAAGTCAATGCAATCAAAAGATATGGCCGTTTATGCCGCATACTTTGACGTTCGTAAAGCATCATCTTTGGCAAGAAACAATGTCTGACACAAGTAAAGGGAAAAATCCGAAAATCGTAAATTTGTAGTTACATCGTGTAAAACCCTCAATGCGACCTCGCACTTGTCCGATTTTTTAAAATAAGTATATTGTATAGTACCTATGCTTAAAGTGAATTAAGTGATATTAATTGATTGCTATCTCGAAGATATTACGAGTGTATGACTCAATTATATGGTCAGTTCGACGGTATCGAATTATTGTACAGTCATCTAGGTTTCAAATACTAATAAATATAGTTATTGGAATATGAATATAATAAATAAGTTAGCTCTTTTTTTGACTTGACGACAGATATAAATATCATCAGACAGATCCCAGGATAATAAAGAGCTAAAAAAACTTTTAAAATCAAAATATCCTAAAATTTTTATCCTAAATTCCTATATCCTAAGATTTACCTCAGACACATTGTATCGGCTAGTGGCCACCCCCAGCAGGAAGCTCTGGGCTATAGTGAATATTGCCAGGAAGATGAAGTTCATGGGCGCAGTACGACGCACTTCCGTGCAACACGCCATTGCGATCAGGCATACGAATAGGATTATGAAAGCTACCCAGCTGTAGGCAAAAAATGAGGTTTTAAATTACACAAAAAAATCACATATTTCGCGTTTTTTTTAAATTATTTATGCAATAACTAACAACATTATATAATTGTAAAAAAATATCTAGCTCCAAAAAACTAAAATTTGGTATAATAATATCATACCGATATGGATACTTAGAACGCCCGCCATTTCGCGCGCTTGGCGTGACGTCACAGTATGATATACACAAAAAAATGATAACTCAATTTCTAGCGACAAAATCGCTAATCGCTCTGTTATGATATACTCTGACGTCATATTCGGTCTGACCAACGGCGTTCGTTTCAACTACTTTGAATTCCCTACCTGTATTTGCACTTTTTAATAATTATTTTCTTAATCAAAAAGAAATTACATTAAAAAATATTGTAATAGGTTTAATTCAAAAACAATAAAGATTATAAAAAAAATATTTCACCTTTATTTAAATCACACGCATATTTCCTATTGCATAAGACACTTGACATTAATCCGATTAAAAAAAAATGACTTTTATAGTTGGTTTTTTCTTTCTAGTGTTCAACAGTGGTCGAAATTCGATCATAATCATTATTGAAAAATTAAGGAAAACATACATGTACTTATAGAATTCATCTAACTATATTATAAAAAAACTGTTTCCAAATATTTTTTTTTATAACACTGAAGCTCGATAAAAGCTACTAAAATAAAAAAAAATAAAATCGTTTGACAAACAGATGTGAAATAGTACTGAACTGTTTTGTCTTTGTCTATTTATATATAGATAGATAAATAAAAAATAGTCTGCAAATAACCGATAAAAAATAAAACTTTAAAAGAGTGATGTATGTAATCGAAAGGAGAAGATTTGATTCCCGCGCCAGACAAATGAATTAAAATGTTTAACGTAACGCCAGGAAACGTGTAAAATAATAGAACCATGACAATTTTTTTTTTAAATAGATACTTACAAGAGATATGTGTTTCGCCCAACAAATTCTTTCGTTGGTTGGTGGAACAGAAATAATGCTATGAATGCCATCGTCACCAGCAGCTGACTCATCAGGATCGCGTACACCTATCGTGATAAATAATGTTTTTTTTTTGTTTTTGACATAATAAGTAAATATTGTTTCAGTTGGTCCGATAAGCGGAAGAAAAAACAAACTTTTGTCAGACTACTGTCGGTTTCTCATATTATCTGCGACTTTTACAAAAAAAATGTGGTTATAATGATATAAGAGTTTTAAAAAGTTGGCATTGTGCTACCAATTACTTGAAAATATTAAAAAGTACCTAGATTGAAAGCAGGCACGATAGTGTCTATTTAAATTAAAATTATTATTCATTTGTGATTAAAGTGGCTATATTTTGTATATCAATTTGTTTTTCGTAAAAGATTTAAAATTATGTCGAGGATATGTGAAGTAAGGTTTTAACTTCTTACCTTCCTAATGAAGCCTTTTCGTATACTTTGTTCTGTAAAATCAAAGGCGGCGGCACCGCCATGTCCATCTTCTCCAAGATGTGCAGAATGATAGTAGCCTGGCTGAAAATATTTAAGATAAAATTACAAATAATTTCAGTAAGCTCTCACATTTAATTATATTCCTAATACTAGCATTGCCCGCGGCTCCACTCGCGTCCAGATGACTAAAAACCAAATTCTTAGGTTTTGCATATTAGTATACTCCTAAAATGCAGTTTTTGTATTTTTTCTCAGAAATGAGATATTTTCCTGCGGTAAAAAGTATCCTATATGTTGACCCGGATAACCAGCGATCATCATACCAAATTTCATCAAGATCTGTCCAGTGGTTTTCTCGTGATGCGGTAACGTACAGACAGACAGATAGAGAAAAATTCTAAAAACTATAGATTCAGATTCTGTATCGATAATAATGCCTATTTCAATTACATTTTCCAAAAATATATAATGTACAGATTCGACTCAGTGTCAATCTCACAATAGGGTCTTGGACTGTGGTAATAAAATGATGTGATGTTTTGAATAGTGGTAGTTTATGGGGCTAGAATTCATTATTAAAAGGAATAATGAAATAAAAATCATGATTTTTCTTTATTTTTAACATAAATCACGTGACCACAAATCTGACTCTGTGAATCTAACGACATCTCTCAAGCTAAAATCCATGATCTCGGTCAGACTACAGAGCGTGCCAAAGAAAGAAATATATATACATACATACACTCTAAAAACATGATTCTCCTTTTGGCGCATTCGGGTAAAAAAAGGTACATTGACTTCATAATCAATTAAAAATAATTATTTCACGCCTAAAGGTGATTTTTTTTTGTATATGGCAACCATTGCATCATTGCACTTTTGAGTTTTCAAGTTTTGACATTTATGAATAATGTTATTTGTAGAAACTTGTTAGATTGAAAATTGATTTGAAATACATGAGAACAATATTATTAGATATTTTCACTTAATGTTACTATGTTATTATTATGTATTCCTTGAACTTAAAAAAAACAGCTAATTTCCCTCATTTTTTTTTATAAATATTTCAATTTGATAATAATAGATAGCGCCTGACGATATTAGATCACGTCAATATAATAATTATAGTCGCTCCTTTTAGATAAGTTTATGAGAAAATGCATACGCATGTATTGAAAACGATAACAAACAAATGTCAAAACTGTGGCGTGTGTCATTTACGTCTAATGTATTTTTTAAATAAAATAGTAATCCTAACATTATCTGTTAGAGAATGCCATAAAATATATTAAAATTGTATAACTTACTTGTGCCATGGCAGACGTTCGTCCACTTATCGTACAAAACAATCACTGATAACAACTAGCAAGTGCCGGTCGCCGGATAACGCGTGTAACTGTAGATAATAGATATCGCTTTTGAGTTTTGAGTATTTACGAAATAGTAGATTAATCGCTGCTATCAGGGCTGCCAGATAACAGTCGTTGATTTACCCGACCAATAAACCTCAAAATACCCGGCTTATTCCGCCGGCGCTAACCATGAGCAGGATACCCGAAATTCAAAAAAGGTATTTTTAGGTAAATTATTCATGTTTTATATAGAATAAAAGAAAGTACTAATGTTAGAAAAAGAAGTCATTGTAATCAGGTTCTCAATTAAACAGCTTTAAATTATTAAATCAAACATAAACTTAAAATATCAATTAATCAGCTAAACTAAAATACCTGCTTTGATTCGGCAAAATGCAAATAAGTAGGTCCGTCAAAATTACTCGCCATCAAAAATCGCCTAAATTGCCCGCTTTTCGGGTAATTCACCCGCCAATTAGCAGCGCTGCTTATGACTCATAGAATGACCCATGATTTACTTTTTGACTTAGCAACTAAGCCAATCAGAGACACGCTTCTGTCTTTTGAATCATCCAATGATATCCTTCTGAGTTCTAACTTGTAACATTCATTGTTTGTTTGTTTATACTTTAAACTTCAAATCAGTATTTTACTGTAAAATGGGAGCTTAGTAAAGAGTTAAGTGATTAAATCAAAGAAACTATACAGATATGTAAAACAAAAAAACTGATTTCAGTATGTACAATTTTAGTGGACTAATCACGAAAGAAAAAAGTGACTGGAATAAAAAATAACAATAACTTATAATTTTATTCAGTTACAAGTGCTTAAAATAATGCTTTTGAGTTTTACGAATGCAATCAGTATGTAAAAAATATTCACATAATAAGTAAATCAAAAACTTGGGACTTCCCAATGTTATTTATGTACATAGGGAAGTCCTGAATTTACTTACTCATCCTCATTGTTCTGTGAAGAATCAACTTGGTTTGTTATCATATCTTACAAACAAATATTTCTATCACTTTTCAGCCATGCGTAGACAAGTAGTTTACTAATAAACTTTTGCGAAAACATACAAATCTTACCGTCAACTTTGATCGACATGTGATCAATGACGAATCATTTTTGATTTTGTTGATTGGGATTGGGACGACTTTTCTTTATATTTTTAAAGTTAAATTATTATTTTTGTAAATAATATGCGTTCGCATATAACTCCGCAACTGTTGCCTTGAAGAAAAAGGTTACTTTGAAACAATAATCTCAATTAGGATAGGTCAAAAGACATATCCAGTGACACCACATGTAGCATGTATGGAGTGCCACTCGTATTTCTTTATTTTGTAATTTCACTATTGTCTAGTGATTCAAATGATACCTGTAAAATTTTATCCAATATTGCTTCAATAGTCTCTAAAATGGCTAACATATGTAATGACGAATGTATTAAGAATAAATGCACTGTTTTTGCTTTTTGGCATTGAAACTCAAAAAATAAACTAAATATGTGCTTATAAAAGTTAGAATTTATAGTTTAGTATAGTTTCTAGGGTGATTACTGACAGAAAGGTACTTATGGACTTATTTTAATAGAAAAAAAGATACAAATTTATTTCGATTTTTTTTATCCTTTCAATACAATACCATTACATCATGAACACAAAATTTCTAGTCCTACATTGCAATGCTACATTTATATAATGTTGAGTACTTTGGTGTCAATGACTTATGAATAAAACAACATTTGTTATGATAATTTTAATAAAAATAAATGGAACATAACAAAAACTAAATAAAATAATACCTTATTCGTAAGTCAATGTGCTATGCGTATATACAGCGTGTAACTTTGAACTAAATCACTACCCGTGTATTATGAAATCACAAAACACTTTTTTAATATCACTTTATATAAAAATAGGCTTACACTTCAAAGTTGAATGTTGCAAGCATCATATTAGCGAAATATTTTAAAAAGTATAGTTGCCAAAGCCGAATGTCAAACTGTTCTAATATTTTAATAAGAAAAAAAAATCTTATATATATCCTTTAATACTAAAGCTAAATATCCCATATATTTAATACAAACAATATTTAATATATGAAGCTATATTTATTTTATATTGATTGTTGAATTAGATATAAATATTTTCTAAAAATTTGACATTTCGGCTGAAGTGACTTCAGATTTATGATTATAGACATTTCGGAATTTAAATAGTTATATTAATTAATATAGATCTGCATTTGTTACGAAGCCAAATAAGTACAATATTTTAGTTTTACTCGAGACATTTCACATATATGTAATTTACAATATTATAGTATGAACATCATAGCTAATATGTAAATGCAACTATTATCTAAAATCATTGATATATAAAAACAAATAGATACACATTTCCTAACAAATATCTCTGTATAAAGTGGCGTTGATGTGTAACGTTAAGTCAAATCAAAGAATAAAATTCCAAAATAGAAAGTTATAATAGTGAAGAATTTTGCCTTTTTCTTTCTTTTGCACTAAAGAATACATCCTCCAAATTTCACGTTTCCACGACCAGCAGTTTAGGCTGTGAGTGGATCCATCAGTCAGTCAGGACCACCACAGGATATACCTCTTCTTCTCAATTCTTCCTTCAGCTGGTCTAACTTCCAGGTACAATACATTGCACAGGTAAGATGTAGACACATTAGAAGCAAAAAAGCAGGTACAAAAGAGATATCACAATAAATAGCTTAACCTCATACTGAACGTAAATAGATATAATATATTTTGATTGATTGATTGATTGATATTTTGATTTGATAATATATTTTCGAGAAATCTTCCTCATAGTCTAAACCTAAATCCGAACTTACGCACACCACACAAAGTACTTTTTTAAACGAAACAACGTGCGTTTTAATTTTGAAAGCAATGAACAAAAGACATTTGAAAAAAGCACAATTCAATTTCGAATAGTGCACTTCTTTTGAGGGCACTTTAATGACACTAATTGTGTATCTTGAGTTTTTGTATATCAATGTCTAACATTTATAAGACGTATTATCTCCATACTGTCATTGCAACATTATAGCAAATATATATATACAGCATATATATTTTTTACTTTTTCTAAATTAAATTATTTGAATTATCAGGTTGTGTTCCTTCAACTATGGACGTAAACTGTTATAATAAAAATACATAATATTTAAATGTAATACTTAATAACTTGTTAGTGGCATAGCATAGGAGGACGGATGAGTTCGGGTGTCACCCGAAACTGATGTCACCTATATGACAAACGGGTGTCACAGCCAAATGGGTGACACCCGTGCACCGTACCCACTTACACCCCTACACCACTGTATTGTTGAAGCATTCCCATAATTATTGCAATAACAGTTAAATTGTACATTCGTTTTTACACGTGCTTAAACATTTAAAGATAAATAAGATTCATAAACATTTGACAAAATAATTTACACCATCCCGCCATTTACGCATGTTTTTAAAGCGAAGGTAAACATCCATTATGCCAGGGACGATGTAAAAAGTTAACATTTCGAGTTTTAAAAATAATATCAGTCGCCGACTGGTAACATTAAGTTTCGACTTTATTGTCTGCAATTTAAGGAGAGGTCCACAATTGACGTGTTCAGTCGTTAGCATGAATTAAATTTATATAAGGAATGTTTTAAAATAAGGTATTTAAAAAAAACATTCAAAATGAATATGTTACTTTTATATCTAAAGATTTTTAAATTAAAAATGACTATCGTGATATTTTTCGAATGTTAAATAAAATTTTGAATCGCCCAAAAATATACAAAAAAATAATACTAAGACCCTACTCATAAATAAATTTAACTAAATAAAAGAAAACGAATCAGTTGAGTGAAGGTTGTCGATACAAAAAGAGATCTATGCACAAACTTACGTCAAATGTGGATAACGATTCAGGCACACAGTTCTTACGAGGACATAGAGAAGTTGCCATTCTACAATCGTTATCGCTAATAGAAAAAAAAAATAGAAACGACATCTCTACACATTCCCCCAATGTCATTTTCCTATATATTTTTTTACATTTCCATGAGCGATACCGATTTGAATATGTTTAAAGGAGGTGTTGTATTGTATAAATATATTGTTACCAACGTTGGAGCCAAAAATTGGTTGATTGCTTCTATTTAGATCAAATACAAAATAAAAAATTAAACAAAAAAAGTCTACTAACCGTCAAATATTGCTTCCAGAATATTCAACTCAAAAGTAAAAATGACTTTCAAAGCGACAAATCCAAACATTAGTACACACTATCCAATAAATATCACTATTCATTATTAAACAATCTACAACATCAAACTACGCTAACATGGCTCAAACATTGGTTCCAATATGCCATAGACAAACAAGACCGCCATTTTGTTTTAATCAGATCTGACCGCGCCAATGATGGTTAGGATATAGATGAATATATTAATAATATCCAGATAAAGGTTAAGGGCAGCGAAGACATATTCTTCTGGGGATATTGAGTACTTGTGTTTGCCTCCCATCATGAGTTGTGTGTCGTAGATGAGATAGAGGGAGAAGATGAAAGCCCCAAGAGAAGCATATATCAGAGTCATAGTCTTGCCAGGCACGAAGATTGCCACGATACCTGAAGGAAATAGAATTTTATCATACAGATAAATAAAATTGAAGTGTCTGTTTGTAATGTCATAATAGCGGCTTTTTACTAAATGCATATGAAAATGTATATGATACTTATAAGCAAAACATAATTTTTAAAATTTTCTGTTTGACTGTGTGTTCCGGCTAATCTATATAATATAATAGCAGTATCGGGCTAGACTGATTTTGACGGGATTATTTTAGAAAAAGAAATAGGGTTCCGCAAAAAAAAAGTATAACGTACCTAGAGAGCAGTAGTAATAAATATAACTGAATATCCCATACAAATTTCAAAAGACATTCCATTTATAGTGACGGAATATTAACTTAGCGACTCTAGTTCGCGTGACTTTTAACATACCTTTCGTATTATAATATGTATATGTGATTAATATATCCTACCCCACACATGTTCACATTATTCAAAAAAAAAAACAAATTCACCCCTTTATAAAAATTAAAATTTATATCATCAGTATGGCAACATCTGCCACAGATAAGATAAAACAATAAAAAAAAAGAAAAAAAAAACTAACTTACCAAAAAGCAATAAAACGATGGTAGCAACAAGAAGAGCCCCACCCATCATTGTAAAGTCCCACTTAGTTTGCATCGCGAATATAGTGAGCCCGAGACACACTGCAGCCGTTATGCCCACTGCCATCATCACCTGAAAATATATATTAATAATGTATTTAGCCCTTTTTAACGTCCCACTGCTGGGGATGGGCCTCCCTTCAGTATCTGGGGGATCAATCAGGCCATAGTTCGGTTTACTGGTGGTAGGACAATGTCAAGCCTGAGGTTTCCGACTGGATGGGTACCACCCCCTAATCTATTTCTCCCGCCAAGCAACAATGATTAAATTGTTATGTTCCGGTTTGAAGGATAAGGTAGCCAGCGCAATTACAGGCAAGAGGCATATCATCTTAGTCCTCACGGTGACAACACACCTGCGGTTCTTATTTTTGTAATATAAAGCCTGAGTGCATGAACTGTAGGTGTTTTGGGCGTCACGTACCGATTTCCATCAGGTAGGCTGTCTGCTCGTTTGTCATTGAATACCATAAAAAAACCACTACGATGGCCAAGTGCGGGTTGGCGGATTTTACAAATCTTTCGAAAATTTACTAGGTTCTCTCAGACATGCAGGTTTCCTCACGATGTTTTCCTTCACCGTAAGACAAGTGGTAATCATGTTGGAAATGTTTCGCACATGAAAATAACATAGTTGCGAGACCTGGAATTTGAACGCGCTTCACTTGGTTTCTCAAGCCAGTGCTGTTAGCTGTACTGAACTACCACTCAAGACTCTCTCCCAAAACATGCAAATTGAAACCAACCTTATTTTAAGTCGGTCAAATGACCAACCATAATACAACCAAAAAAAATATCAAGAAACCATCAGAACATACCGCATCGCTCTGGTACATGCTGCTGGTGACGCCCAGCAGGAAACTCTCGGCCACAGTGAATATGCCCAGGAAGATGAAGTTCATGGGCGAGTTGCGGCGCACGGACGGACAGCACGCCATCGCGATCAGACATATGAACACCAGGGCAAAGGCGATCCAGCTGGAATTATATATATATGTATATATAGATTACAACGGAAGGAGATACTCGATTCGATTTTTGTTTGTTTGTATCTCTTAGGCTATATCTTAGTCAATTGATAAATCAATTTTTATTTATATAATAAGGCAAGGCATACGCAATTTAGGTTAATTGAGGTGTCTTTTAGGGTTCCGTACCCCAATAGGATATAAGGGGACACTTCTCGGATCACGTCGATATCCGTCTGTTTGTTAACTTTTCACGCTTAATCCGCTGAATCGATTTAGATGAAATTTGGTATAAAGGTAGTTTGAGTCTCTGGGATTTTTATCCTGGAAATCATCCCTAAGAGGGTGAAAATGGGGGATGAAAGTTTGCTTGGGGAATCAACCTAGAGACGAAGCTAGAGTGAGTCGCTAGTTATTTATATACTTACAACATGTAAGTGTTCTTTTGCACCCACATCCTGGTTGGTGCGTGATACACGAACAGAGTGATGAAGGCCATGGTCACAAGCAGTTGACACATCAAAATACCATATACCTGAAATGATAAATAATAATTTATGTCCTTTTATGTATTTGGTTTGTTTGTTACATTTATGTTATACCTAATTATAATTAATCTTTTCTTTTATTGTTAGGAAATGCATTTGGGCATACCACTCACTCATTCGCCACAAACTCACTCACTAAAAGTACTACTCACTAAAACCACACGGAACCATGTCCGTCCTAATAGAAAGCCGTTGGTTCATAAAAAAAATAATACATAAAATTATATGCAGCCCTTTTTAACGTCCCACTGCTGGGCACGGGCCTCTCTTCAATACGAGGGGGATCATGCCATATGTGAGTTGGCGGACTGAGCATGTCTTCGAAAACTTGCTAGGTCCTCTTACGTAATCAACGTAGAGACACTAGTCTTTTCAAGTTGTTACAAAACCTATGACAGAAGGCCCCGCTATACCCTCCATAATAAAATGTTTATTAAGTCTGTAAAGTCTATAAAGACATATATTAAACATATATATTAAAGTAACTGATTTTAAACAATTACCAAACAGTTTCTGTGAAACAGAAACATTAAAATAACCTAGTAATACAATAGTTTAATAAGAAAAAGAAGATGAATGAATATCAATGTTACTAATATTTTACATGTGAAAGTTTAGATGGATTTTTGGGTGTTTGTTACTCAATTTGGCACAGAGATAGATTATAGTCTGGAATAGCACATAGGCTACTTTTTATTCCGGAAAAATGTACGGTTCTCGTGGGATAGATTTTTTGTTTCCCGTAGATTTGTGTGAATGTGGGCGAGCCGCTAGTAACTTTCAATAAATAATTGTAACTCACCTTCCTAATGAAAGATTTTCGAATGCTCTGCTCATTGAAGTCAAACCCTTTGACGTCGGAATCCTCCCCGAGACTGCCCCCTGGGCCCGTAAACACTGGCTGTAATGAAAAGTATAAAACTATTAAGTGATAAAGGTAATCTTATCTAAAAATACGGGAAGAGAAAACTCTTCTGAGAAACCTCTTTTTAAACAAAATTATAATAAAAAATTAAAGAAGTATGAGTTTTGGCATAGTTAAATTTTATATAGAAAAAAATAGGTTAAAATTTATTGTTCTCTATCCAGTTGTTTCAAATCAAAGTTTCAAACACGTGCAGACAGACAAAACTTTTTATATCATTTTCCTGGCACATACTATAAACAATTTGCATATATTTTTCACATTCATATATAACAGGCATAAGTACGATACATAAAACAGTATGTAAAATGATCATATTTATATCTGACCGTTAAAAACGCTCCCATCCATTCCATAGCTGTACATGTTTAAGTCAATCCATACATAAACTAAGGAATATTAATGTCACTAAGCAGAACCTACTAGATCAAATCATCTATACTTATATTATAAATGTGAAAGTTTATAAGTGTGGATGTATGGATGTTTGTTACTCTTTCACGCCAGAACGGCTGAGCGGATCTGGATGAAATTTGGCACAGAGATAGATTATAATGTGGATTAACACATAGGCTACTTTTTATCAAGTAGGTACCTACTACCGAATATATTACAGCAGATAATATATTTAAATATTACTGAGTTTTTTTTTGTTGAAATTGAAAGAGAAAGTTTGTTGAAAATTGCCAAAATTAACATTCTAAAAGTTACATGAGTAGAATATATTGATTAATTCAATATCTACTATCTGTCTAGGATCATTCTTTTACTTGTATGAAATAGAAAAACAATGTCCCATTCACACACAGCTTTACATGTATCATCTATATTCTAACATCGTAAAAATGTTAGTTGAGTAGCGATTTTTCCATATAAGTATATACATAATATAATAAGCCCGCTTTATGCAACAGGCGTAGTTTTTGTATAATCGACATCGCTAAAAGAAAACTAAAAATTATAGCAACGATATCTTTTGAACACATCGTATAATGCATAGATACGGCATTTCTATTTTTGTCAGCAGTAGCAATTATAGAATGTCATTTGTTTTGTCATGACCAGATCATTTGCATTATCAATACAAAAGTCCATCCTGTTCGTATAAACATAATTATTAATCCACGATTCCTGTTTAATTATTCAAAAACCTTTTAGTATCGTATAATTTTACACAATAATAATTACCTCTCCATATCCGCCATAACCGGTTGGTTGGAATCCTGGTTGGGGAGGAGGTGGGTAGCCACCCTGAGGATAACCTCCCTGAGGGTAACCTCCCTGGGGGTAGCCTCCCTGGGGATATCCCCCTGCGGGGTAGGCTCCCTGAGGATAGCCACCTTGAGGATAGCCTCCCTGAGGAGGATATCCACCTTGTTGATCTGTAATCGGATATACGTATAAATTATAATTTTTTCATGTGAAACTTCTTTATAATCGTTGTGATTTGAAACTCGATGAAACGGATATGCGTCACGACAGAGAGACAAACACATAAATATAAAGGACTAAAGCGGCAAGGGAATGAGATAGAATACCTACGTTGCCATGGTAACCGTTGTTATTGTCTAACGAATATATAATATTATATTCTTTCCGTATATAATATTCTATAAATATATGATTATAATATGCCTAATATGCCTTATTTAATTATTTGAGACAGATTACATTACACAGGGAGTAAAAAATAATAAAATTAATTACTGGATAATACGTGTTGTATATTTATGTCAAATAAAATGTAACATAACTTTTAAACTTGGCAAAAATATTAAAAAAAACCTTATAATTATCCCAATTAAAAATAAATAAAAGAAAAACAGTGACTTTTAATATTCGTTAACAGAATATATAAGAAACATGTACGATATGAATAGCAGGTTTTAAATTGATAATTTCATTAAGAGTTTAACTTTTTTTTTATAACGTCGAAACGGACACAAAGGTATATGAACGGAAGTACATAATATATCATCTGTTGACACAGTTTATAATTCCATTAGTAGAGTCAATATATACTTTGTAAGTAAGCGTCATATATACATTGATATAGACACATATCTACATACATAGTATTTAAAGCTTGGTAGGAAATGCATTTACGCATTATGTGGGACTCACCGGCTTGAAAGCCAATACTAACCACTAAAACCCAACAGAACCTCTCCCGTCTTAATGGGGCGTCTCCGGATGGCTTACACACTCATGGACTCAACCATGACGCCCCGACGGCAGGCCTGCCGAAGCAGACCACAACAACTAATGGGGTTGCTCCAACAGTCTACTCTGCTATCAGAGAAGTAAGTACCAGGAGCCGTCTCCCAGTGCGTTCCTTGGCTTCGCGCCCGGCTGAGTTGCCGGACGCTAATGAGCCCAATCACGTCAAGGTGAACGCACATTAGGGGAGAAAACTAGGTAGGTATATAACAATTGTTCAATATAAACTAATAATCCGATACAACTCTAAATCGATAACTAAGAAAACCGAGTGTTTGTGATTTTAAAATAACCATATTTTTCTCAAGTACATAGAGTTCTTTATCTTATAGTGGCAGTGCTGACGTACACGTTTTAGCTATATAACAATTGTATAGCGGCCGGCGCGGCGCCACGAACCCGTCCCCCGTTGTCCCGTAACCGCCTACTGTTTCGCTTGTCACATATCTATACTTCTATACTAATATTATAAAGAGGTAAAGTATGTGAGTTTGTGACGTTGTAGGGATTGATCTCTGGATTTACTGAACCGATTTAGATGAAATTTGGTAAGAAAATAGTTTTAGACCCTGGGAAGGACATAGGATACTCTTTTATCCCGGAAATCATCCCTTAAGGGGGGTGAAAATGGGGAAGAAAGTTTGTATGGGGAATCAACCTAGGGACGAACCCGAGCGAAGCGAGGGTGTGTCGCTAGTATTATTATAGAAGTATATATTATGCTAGGGATATTTGTAAGTAACTTAAAATCAATATGATAAAAATATATGTGACTTTGGACGTTTCATTATCTTCTTGCACACACAAATACAGTGAACACGCAATCTCATCCACAGACAAGTTTTTGAAAACGCAACCTTCTGATACTACACACACATTAAAATTGATACCAATACATAAACAACCACTTCTAAATTTTTTATTTGTCTGTCTTTCTGTTTGTCCGGGGTAATCTTTGGAACGGCTTAACCGATTGTAATGGGACTTTCACTGAAAGAAAGAGGAGTTTGTAAGGCACATATAGGATATGTTTTATTCAGAAATATTTAGGATTTCAGAGCAAAAATCGAACCATTAAAAATTACGCAAAATTTAAATTAACGTTTCTAAGCTGACATTATTATAAACATATACTAAATATTGCTAGTAGTACCCCGTCGTTTTATTACTTTTTTAATCTTTATTTACAAAACAAGATATTCGATCTCAAACTTCAACACGATAAGTTATACTATTTTTTCAATGTTTGCTTGGAATAACCTATATTTCATCAAAATTGACTTAATCGTCTGACAGGGCCAAATCCAAGCGGATTAACTGTCATGATATTTATAAAATTCTTTTGGACTTTAAAAATCAAAATTAAAATTTGTGAACGAACGTTTAAAAGGAATTTACGCTTAGCTTTAGATAGCGACCAGCGAGTAGCAGACTGACTGGCGTCTAGTTTAATAACTTTGTTTATTGATCTTCCGCCAAATGAAAACAGTTTGCCATCAGTTCCTTATTTACATTCCTTCCACAGATTATAGAAAAACACAATAAATGTCAAAAATAAAACTTATTTAACTAAATAAATAATATGAAGAAACAATCATTATACTACCGGTAATTTTAAAATCTTGCAATTTTTATTATTTCCTAGATATGCACACGTTTCACGTACCTCGTACATATTAATTAAAATATTATTATATATGTGCAATATTATCAAGGCCGTGACGAGGACGAGTCTAGTTCCTACGCACACAATAAAATTTAAGGAAAAAATTACAAATCAATCTACACTATGATAAAATTCTGGGTCGAATCTGTACATGAAATATTTTTTGGAAAATCTTATTGAAATAGTCATTGTTATAAATACAGAGGCCGAATCTATAGTTTTTAGAATTGTTGTTTGTCTGTTTGGGAATGCATTACGAGAAAACCACTGGACGGATTTTGATAAAATTTGGTACGATGATAGCTGGTTGGTTACCCGGCTCAACAGAAAGGATACTTTTTAGTGCGGGAAAATATCTCATCTCTGAGAAATCTAAGTAAACCAATAGTAAAACAAAAGTCTACCTTTATTTTCCATGATTTATAATATGAAAACCCAATTTTTATCCACTACTATTTCTGAACACTTAAAAGCGTTTTATATCTAAAAAGCTCAAATGCCCGCCCATCAGCAAAAAAAAACCTCATTTATTAGATAAAAATCTTAGTCTTTGACACTTCTTTTAGTTTAGTGTTAACCGTACGAAGGGCTTGGTCGAACTGCATCTGGATTCTGGCATCACAAACCAACATAACACGCGACTCTTTAAAATGTTTCTCACGTTTCATCCTATTTTAGCCCCTAACATCTTTAATTTAAGACGCTAAATGGCATAAACAGTTAACACATGCGTAGTGTAGTCCAAGTATACTATGGTTTCAAATGACCGACTTTTGCGAAATGAAGGCAGATTAGACAGTATTTAGAGTTTTTTTTCTTTGAAACTGTTATGCAATATAGAATCTTATGACGTAATCATAATAGTAGGGGAGCCCAAGAGGGGATTTTCTGTAGTTACTCGAGCGCGGCAGATTAACATAAAAGAGGTTACCTTGCACTCTATTGAGTACTTTCACCACAATATAAGTCTTCTATATAAAGGGGCGCGTCTAGGGAAGCCGATTAAAATATTTAAAAAATGTTTTGATAAGGTGAAAATACTTGAAACCGTCAGATTAAGGTGTGGTAGGCTAGTCACATCCTGAAAAGTGTTCAATTCAATAATCTGCCGATTTGCACAAGCCGAAGAGGCAAAAATCGACTATAAAGTTTATGATGATTTTCGCATTATGAATTTTATGAATTTTATTTAAATTAATTGTTATTTACAATATGTTATATTCAACAGCCCGCACTGTTAAAACGCGACCATAATATAAATAGTTGGTCGCTGTGACCAAGACGTGATCATACCGAACCGAAAATAGGAACAAGACCCCCAACCACGCAAAGGCAGTGGATGAGGATGAGTGAATGACCAGGATCGGAAAGGATGGTATACGAAAGATCTATACTCCACAGTGAAAAGTGGAAAATATGGAAAATGGCAAAATTGTAAAAACAAAAAAATAATATGTTAATAATTGTTTGGGGCTTTAGTATCTATATTCAGTTATTCAAAAAACAGCTAAGACACAATTAAATCGATCACACATTAAAGGTTTTGGTCTAAAAAGTCCCCAAGAAACTTACTCGGAATCAATAGATAAATACTAAATTACAGTTCTAGACCAATGAAAGAGGCATTGATTTATGTTAAAAATAACTATAAATTTGGTCTAAACGTTATATACGGTTTGTTTATCAAATGAATTGAGGTCACAATTAGTACTGGGAACTGGGAAGCCCTTTTCTTTTGTATCTTACAGGATTCTTACGGGATATTATCGCTAACGAGTCTTCCAAAAACATTAGCTCCCATAAACTTGGCCTAAAGGTACTTTGTTTTTGTTGTGTAGTATGAACTTAATAAATAATTTACTGCGTAATTTCAAGATTATTCTAGAAATCTTTATCAGTAAGATTTGTTAAGATAAGCAGTTGATGAGAGAGAAAAACAAATCTTATCATGAGTCATGACGCTGAGATGTACGTATGTAATATTGGAATTTGGATGTGAATAGACTTCCCTAGTGGCTTTTTTCGGAACTAACAACAGCAGTTTATAGTGTTCATTAACAGTAAAAGTAACAATTTCTGCTTTCTCTCACAGTATAATATGTTATACAAATTATAAACAGTAGGTATTCATGTCTGTTTGTCTATGTTAAACAAATCTGATCTTCGCAAATTCTAAGACAATTCGAAAATTTCCTAAACGAAAACCTATACAATACGTCATGGATGTTTCTATAAAAAAACTTAAAATTTTGAAATCGATCGATATGTCCTTTATACTTTTAGAACAAGATATTGGTTTTACCAAAATTGCTCTTATACCTACATCATTTATTAAGTAAATTTACGTGTATTGTTCTTTTGTACATATTAAGTCATTAATATAAAGCCGAATCGATACATCCTTGACGATATGCCAAGCGCAATGTAATATGTTTCAAAATAAAACGCAATCATTTCAGAACATAACAATATAAAGATCAATACGCGGTATAAAATATTTTAAAACTAGAAGCTACACGAATACGAATGTTATTAACGCTACAGTGTGTTTATTTATCCCTCCTTTACGAAAAAAGGAAATATCTACGTAATTTTGAAGACTCGTTTCTCTCAGTTTGTAGTGACCCTACTTGCTGTTCCAGCGGTCGCGGGTTCGAGTGCCGCTGGGAGCATTCATTTGTGTGATGAGCACGAATTTTTGTACTCCAGTCATGGGTGTTTATATTTATAATATGTACATAATGACATATGTAATTAAAGTTATATTGTATGTGTAGTGTATCAACTATCCGGTATCCATAGCACAAGCTTCGTAGCTTACCATGGAACTAGATGGTGCTGTCTGTTAATGTCCCAACATATTTAATTTGTAGAATAGAAATAGTATATTAGAATTAAGATAGAGACTGCTAAAATTTATAGCGATAAATATCAAACATTTTCCGTTGGATCAGTGGCATATTTACATACTGTGGCAGGGCACAGTCCAAGGCAGCAGGCGAAGGGCGGCGCAAAACACGTCGAAAGTTGGTAAATGATTTCTTTTGTTATTAGGCATTTTGTAAACAAAGTACAAAGACAAAAAATATGTAAATTATTGAAAGTTGTGAACTTCATTTTTATAAACGATCTTTTTAGGTTTCGCTCTTTCTTTAATATACACAAGGGGCGTACAACAGACCAACTTTAAAGGTTAGGACGACAAAATTAAATTAACGCGACCCCCTTGGACAATAATACCATAAAACAAACGACAATTAGTACTAAAACGTTTCAAAAGGTTACTGAAGTAACGCCTTCTTTTGTTTTTTTTTTTAAATTTTTATGTACTCGTAACTTTAAACTTGTACTATAATATTCACTTTCTGGTTAAGTTTGTTTATATAATTATTATATGTTTTTATTTGAATGTTGTGTACAGATATAATTGGACAACAAATTTAAAATGATATTTTTAGTTTTTAATACGTAGATGTAATTTTTTTAATTTGTTTTCTGTTTCTGTACCTAAATAAAATGAAACTAAATGCATCGATCAAAAAATACTAGATACACAATCCCATACAAAAGTTCTCTTAAATCTGTCACCAATTGTGTTTAGGTGATTAATAATTATTCTAGTGGAAATAAATATACAACAATGTAAATTGATCCTTAAACGCGATGATTAGAGTTGTTTTCACAAAAAAAAGCGCGCTCAAATGTTCAAACGAGCGCTTATTCGGCAAAGACATTTTTTGTCGCTGATTGTGTATCTAGTATTTTTTTTATCGATTCCTAAATGTAATAACTAATAAGACATGATCGAAAATTATGTAGATTTTTTTTAATCGCCATGTTTGAACTTTAAACTAAGCCTATTCGAAGCAGTCATTAAAAGCTAACTCATGTCAAAAAAACTTTACGTGACTCGTGACAATAATGGCTTTCATTAATTTTCCATTAGTATATATATATATGTATATATATTTCTAGTACTAACAACGGTACAGGTCAAGAATGTAAATGACAAATGTTTAACATCTTCATATTGCTATCGGGACTTCCCCGAGATATGATGATTCATATTTCATAGGTATTAACTGAATAAACATTTACGTCATAAGTTTTATCAAATAAATAAATTTTATTATACGATATGAACTAATTATAATTATTAAGGAACCTTAAAAAGATAACGTATTAATGTTGTTTTGTATATAGCTGTAGCTTTTCCCCCGGTTCTTCTCGCGTGGTAGTGTATTTCTATAAAGAGTAGCTTAAGTTGTAATCCTGAATTTAACCTATCTCTATTCTAATCGTTCATTCAAAATCGTTCAATCCGTAACAGCGTGAAGAAATAAACACATTCGATGTCAATTATATGAGACTCGTCTCAGACTAGATAGACTAGATCAAAATTGAGTTTTTTTTTAAATTTGTATAAATTTACATGCGATCCATTAAAAAGGTATTTATTTATATTTAGCAGACTCTTCTATTATATGCATATATGTTTGTAGGTACCTATATCTTTATATATATAATTCTTCTGTGAGTGTGTATGTCACTGAACTTTTCTCAAACGACTGGACCGATTTTGATGAAATTTTTTGTGTGTGTTCAAGGGGATCTGAGAATGGTTTAGATTCACAATTTGAATAATAATTTTCATCAAAAAATCATAAAAAAAAGTTTGAAATTTTCAAATTAAAGACGTGTAGACAGGACAACGTCTGTCGGGTCCGCTAGTCTATACATATAATAAAATTGTAACTAAGCCTAATCTGTACATTAAATATTTTTTTGGAAAATCTTATTGAAATAAACATTATTATCGATACAGAGGCCGAATCTATAGTTTTTAGAATTTTTGTCTATCTGTCTGTTACCGCATCACAGAAAAACCACTAGAGGGATTTTGATGAAATTTGGTATGGTGATAGCTGGTTATCCGGGTCAACATATAGGATACTTTATACCGCCGGAAAATGTCTCATTTCTGAGAAAAAATACATAAAACTGCAATTTAAGAGTATATTAATATGTAAAACATAAGAATTTGGCTTTTGGTCATCGGAAGGCGGGCGGAGCCGCGGGCAATGCTTGTAAATATATAAATTAAGTAAGAGACGACAAGTCCAATAATAGTTAAAAAAGCGTGGGAATTATACTAGGTACATTTTTTAAACCGGTTGAATTCTGAATAATAAAATATAATCACACGACTTCAGGTAGGTTGTTAAATGTCATCATCAAGTATTTTACTGTTTCTATTTAAATATATTTTTCAAAGGCGATTGGTGATATTGACGATGTGGTGAATTTATTAAAAACTTTAAAGATATTTCTTATAAAACTACATTTTAAATAATGATTTTGCAATTCCAAAAAAAAAAGATAGAAAAAAGAACCATTAATAAAAAATATGGCCACATTATGACATTTTTTTTTAATTTGGATGAAAAAACAAATGATATTTTTGGGAAACCGATAGAATATACTCATAATCATGCTTTTTATCGTATTTGTAATGTAGAAAAACGACTACCTTTCAACATAAGAACCGTGTCGTTTGCAATACGAGTACAGTAATCAGATTAAAATTAAATCAACAAACGTGTAGGTGTCCAAGACATATTATAAGCTGTATTATCGTGTCACTTAAAACGCCAATTTACCGGTGTTTACGCAAGCTGTAAGGATAATGGGCATTTAATATAAGTTGGAAGTACAATAATTATATTTCTTGAATAAAATGCTGGGGGTTTTTTTTCCATATTCAACCAATAATTTAAATGTGACAGTAGTTCTGTTGGTCCCTTAGTTTCCTTTTTAAGTTTAAATTGCTTAACAGATATTGATAAAATTTGGCTAGGACATAGAATACACCATGTGAAAGAACATGAGCTACCATGACTTCTTACCATGTAAGCATGTCTTTGCTCGGTAAAATCTAAGAATAAGTTTTTATTTAATCACCAATAGACAATCATGAGCACTGCTCTATATGGGAGAGTAAACAATGGCCAGATGAAATTATCTTTGTATCTGATTGACGGATTTAAGTTATTGATTCTAAATAAAAATATTTTTTACTGACACTAACATTAGGCTGAAGTTAGACTTCTTAATGTTTTTTGTTTATTTTAATATAATAATAAACTAGCCAGTGTTGCAATGGTATGATTCTTACCACTAAACACACTACACTTCTGTTATAAATCATATACAAAGAGCCTGCAGGTGATTTTTAGTTGTGTATGTAAACAACAGAATAGCACAAGTATAAATGCACAAATGAGTACATTCAATAAATACAAGTGAACTTAATATGTACATATGTATAAGAAATGTTAGTAAAAACAATATTTATACACATTAGGACTTAGGGGTAAGTAGTGTTTAGGTTAGAAAAGGTCACAATTTTAATAAAAGGTTGGCTCATAAGACATTCAAAATATCATCTTTGACTAACTTTTCTGTAATAGAATATTCACTTTTATGATATATAATGAGTTCATTCTCTTTATTTTCTTATAAAAAAAATATAGTAAAAAAATAAATAAATAGCAAATAAATAATACATAAATAGCAAGATAATTGCTGAGCAAGCACATTAAGAGTGCAACAGTGTCATCATAATATGACTAAAAGCCGCCAATCAATTATAATTCAATTATAATTCAATTATTACAACACACAACTCACAAGATTTTTTATATGAACTGAATTAAAAATCCATTGTTATGCAATAATAATGCAAAAACACTTAAATTATAATTAGCTGTTGTGACTCAAAACCATGGATGTCACGAACATGAAAAACATATTTAGATTTTTTTTTGTGGATTTTAAAGGTTGTTTATTGCATAACAATTTATATAAACATTTTTGACAATGACGTTTTGGACAATGGTACAGGGTGCACAACATTCAAAATTAAAAATATATAACCTGGATAAACTCCTTGATTCTGCCACATTGTCCAAATAGACTGTAAGAAAAAATAGATAGTTAAATAAGAGAGCATACATACACATTGTGTTGTAATTTGGTTGATCAGATGTGTTTATCTTTTCGGATGCCGTTTTGATAAACCTTCACAGCACTTACAGGCAAAATGAGAGGTACTGTAAAAAAGACATGTTATCAGACAAACTCTCAGCAGGATTTAATTATTATATTCATTTAGTTTTCTTGTAAGGATGTATCTAGAAAGGTCTTTGTAGGAGATATTTCATATATAGTCTGCTAAATACTAAGCCATACATGATGATAGATTGTGTATGATAATTAGGTATGTACATCAAAAAACTATATAAACAATTCTGTACCTGATGACTGTACTTAACCTTGAAATATTAGTAGACAATTTTAACTTTCCATATTTTAGACATCTGTTTTATATAGCTTTAATCATATTTAATATGTTTCACTAATTAATTTGAAAATATCAATTAATATTTAGAGCTACTGATGTTATTTAAACTTTTTTTCCTTGCAACTAGCAAATGTTTAAGTAGTCATATTTATGATAATATTTGATAAACATATAATATTTATATGTACATGTCTAAAATGCCAGCTGTTTTGATTTTTTTCATATGAATCATATAAATAATATTACATACTTTCACGAATAGTGATGCAAGAATTTGTTTACTATCCCAATATCTTCTTTGTCGCGTTATTTAACAAAATTTAAATATTTAATCGCCAAAATATGTAAAAAGGATTGCTAAATACACATAAACTTTCTCGCTAACTCTCTGGAAAGTACTAGACTACGAGATAAATGGCGCAGCATATCATCGATTTTAGTTAGAATGTTGGTAAATTGGTCTTACCTCGCCTCCCTTTTACACAAATGAATCAAACTAAAAGACAACAGTATATTATAGCACAGTAAAAACAGCAGATGTATACTCGCAAGTCGCAAAAAACCACAACACTATAACTTCAGTTCACTAAAAGTTGAAATGGTGAATGGTATTTGGTAGGAGTTAAGAAGCTGTTTCTGGCTGTTTCACACTTTTCTTAATGAATTCATATATGTAGCAATATACTCTATGTTAATGAATGATTGCTTAATGATGTGTCAACTCGAGTTACTAACTCGAGTTAACTCGAGTTGGGCTTAACTCGAATTAACTCGAGTCGAATTCTCTCTGACTCGAATTGGATTTGCGTGGTAAGTGAACGAAGCAAGTGAGTACGCGATTGATCTTACACAAACGCGGTGATTCGTTGGTTGTGTTCATGTTTTGTACAGTCGTCAGCACTTCAGACCATACATTTATGTTGCAAAATCGCTCCAATTACAACCGAATAAGATGCCACAGTATTTAACTTAATCGCTGTCGTCCGTATTCCCGTCATAGCATTTCAACCGAATGACAGCGTTATAATATCCATACTAATATTATAAATGTGAAAGTATGTTTGTTTGTTTGTTCTTCTTTCACGTCGAAACGTAGTAACGGACTGGGGTAATTTCTTGGGTGAAAATAGTTCATAGTTGGAGGGCTGGAGAGTGGTATAGACTACTTTTTACCGCGGAAGATTATCTAATTTCCACGGGGAAACACGTTATAATACAACCCAAAAAAATATTTATGATCAGAATTACTTGAAACTTGGTATTAACGCTCTTCAATACAATTAAATAAATATATGTTTTAGCATTCGTCGAAATTTATCCCGTAAGGGGGTGAAATAGCGGATGAAGTTTTGTATTAAACCTACCTTTTTAGTGTTTTTTTGGAGTTTTAGCGCGAGCGAAGCCGTAGGTTCTGCTAGTAATAATATAAATAAATAAATATAAAAAATAAAAATAATTATAGGTAATTGTCCTAATAAATATTTAATTAGAATCTGTACCATTTTTTTAATATTGTTGCGAAGCTGAGTCATTAAATTGGTACAAGCAAAACAAATCATTCATTTTAAATAAAACTATCTTTTCGGATTTTGTCGCGGATTTATTTGCATTTTTGTTTCCTGACGTTTCGAATGCTTTACAGCAATCATGGTCACGGGAGAGACTGAGGTGTTAGATGTCTCTAAGGTATTATATAGTTGTTACAGACAGTTTACCCACAATTAACAAAATGAATTCAAAAAATTGAAAAATGGCACTAAAGTACCTTACAATATTTTAACTTTTAACGTTAAAATTTTTTATATAATTTTAATTAGCTTTATAATTGAATAAAGAATATTATTTATTTAATTTGAGCTGTTATTATTATAATTATTACAATTTTAAAAATATTAATTATTAATCTACATTTTTAGTGTTGCCATTATTATATTTATAACCATAAAGAAAAAATCATAATTAATTATTTAAGCCACAATTGATCTATGTGTAATTTGAAAAAGTTAAGATTAATTAAAAATAATAATTTTAATTTTAATTTGCTATTATTTAAAAAACAAATTATTAAGCAACACATTACTACATACATTTACAAATGAAAAAGTGAAAAAATATTATTAATCAGAAATGCTATCATTTTGATCCACACAGTAAGAACTTACTACATCTACCTGTCTGTTATGTTTAGATTTATTATTAGATTTTATTATATTAATAACAGGATCCCATGACGATGGTAGTACCCAGCTATCTTCCCTATTGAAATTAGGATGTTTTTAAATTTCTATGGCTTCTCGAATCATTCTAGGGCGATATCGGTTTTCTTTCGCCAGGATCTGAGGTCTATCGAAGCGAATATAATGGCTTGGGCGGTCCTGACTGTGTTTGCAGACAGCAGATGTTGTATTGCGACGGTGCTTCACATCAGCTATGTGTTCTTTGACCCGGGTTCTAATGGATCTCTTTGTTTGTCCGATGTAAGAGAGCCCACAATCACAATCAAGCTTGTAAACTCCTGCATCTTGTAGAGGGATGTGGCACTTGACAGGTGGTAGAAACTGACTAATTTTCTTTGGCGGCTTGAAGTAAGTTTTAATTGAAGCTCGCTTTAGAATGTAGCCAATCTTGTCTGTGACGCCTCTCATGTAAGGTAAGACTGCAGGGACGCGCTCGACTGTGGCTGGTTTCACTCGGTCCCTGTGACGTAGGCGCGGCACTTGCAGCTTGTTGTCTTGCAGAACTTGCTTGACATGTTGCAGTTCTCCGGCCAGGTGTTGCTCGTCACAGATCCCGCGCGCCCTCTGAAACAAAGATTTTCCCACGGTAGCTAACTGTGAAGGGTGGTGGTGAGATTCACCATTCAAGTACCTATCTGTATGGGTCTTTTTTCGATACACTGTATGACTCAGGGTGTTATCTGGTTTACGCATAACTAATACATCTAAGAAAGCTAAAGAATTATTAGACTCCAGTTCCATTGTAAATTGTATTTTAGGGTTTATGGAGTTAAGATGTTCTAAGAATACAGAGATTTTATCAGATGGTAATATTGTGAAAGTGTCATCTACATACCGCTTGTAGAAACGAGGGGTCACAGGTGATGTGTTTAGGGCGGTCTCCTCGAATGCCTCTATGAAGATGTCAGCTACAACGGGAGAGACCGGCGAACCCATGGCCACTCCATCCACTTGCTTGTAGAATTCATCATTCCACAATAGATAGCCAGATGTAAGGCAGTGTTTCAAAAGTTCAGTGTATTCTTCTTGCATACTATTATCCCGTAGCTTTCTTGATACTATTTTGACACAGTCCTCTACTGGTAGGCTGGTGAATAGAGACTGTACCTCAAAACTGACCATAGTTTCATTGTCCATGAGTTGTAGGTGTTTTATCTCATTGACAAAATGGTACGAGTCCCTTGTGAACGCTGATGTTTGTCCTCTGAGTGTTGAGAGTACTTTCGCTACTAGTTGGGCCAATTTATAAGTCGGTGTGTCGATTTGACTCACAATTGGACGTAGCGGAGCGTTAGGTTTGTGTATCTTTGGAAGTCCATAGAGTTTAGGCGGCTTTGCACAACGTCGGGAAACAAAAATGCAAATAAATCCGTGACAAAATCCGAAAAGATAGTTTTATTTAAAATGTCAAATATTCGCGTAGATCTAAGAAAGTATTACAAATCATTCACTTCATTTTTCATCCAGTTAACTCGATAATACTTTCTTATTTTTAGATTTTATTATATTAATTATAAATCAAATAATAAATATAAACATAACAGACAGGTAGATGTAGTAAGTTCTTACTGTGTAGATCAAAATGACAGCTTATCAGATTAATATTTTTCATTTTTCATTTGTAAAAGTATATAGTAATAGTGTTGCTTAGTAAGTTGTTTTTAAATAATAGCAAACTAAATTAAAATAATTATCCTTAATTAACTTTAACTTTTTAAATTACACATAGAACAATTATAGGGCTTAAATAATTAATACTATATTTTATATTTTTCTTTATGGTTATAAATATAATAATGGCAACACTAAATATAGATTACTAAGTAATATTTTAAAATTGTAATAATTATAAAAATAATAGCAAAAATTAAATAAATAATATTCCATATTCAATTATAATTAAAATTATAAAAATGTTTAAAGTTAAAAAATATTGTAATGTAATTGGTGCAATTTTCATTTTGTTAATTGTGGGTAGGCTGTCTGTAACAACTATACTTCTAAGACATGTAACACCTCAGTCTCTCCCGTGACCATGGATGCTGTAAAGCATTCGAAACGTCGGGAAACAAAAATGCAAATAAATCCGCGACAAAGTCCGAAAAGATAATTTTATTTAAAACAGTTAACTCGATTTACGTAACTCGAGTTCAACTCGAGTTACGTGAATTTCAACTCGAGTTAACTCGAGTTATATTTTTTCCGAGTTGGCACATCACTATGACAGATTGCTTATATAAAAGTCAAAAGTCAAAACTTAAAAGATACCACAGATGATTAACAAAAAATGATATCAAAACAAAAATACATTTTTTTTGATATTAATTTGGATTCTAACTATTTGCAGACACAAATATATTGACTAAACCAAGTTATTGCCATATAGGAAAATCATTAAAAATATTATCTTTATTATAGTACCACTTAACATTCAATATGAATTGATTATTGTTGAGCAAATATAAAGATATAGGACTAATTTCTAGCAGTTGAGTTAGGTTATTTTTACTATACCATATTGTAAAAAAAATTATTTAATGAAGAGCAACTGTTGAATTTCAAGCCTGCTCTTCTCAGAAGAACTATCTTCCGAGTCGGTGGTAGCTTGCTCTCGGCATATTGACATTAAAAATGTAGAAATTGACGATTTAACAGGGCTTAAGAGTTTAATTAAATAAAATATTTTTGGATTTGACTATAAGCATAAAAACAATATTTGTATGCCTCCTGTGAGGTTTGAACTCACGACCCCTGGTTTACGAGACCAGTGCTCTACCACTGAGCTAAAGAGGCTTATGAATGAGTGATTGCGTTTATGAAGGTCTAGTGCAAAAGTACCTAGCAAAAAAATAGTTATGATGTGAAAAATGCTACTTTTAAGTCATTAATGTGAAATAGGCAGTGTTGAATTCAATTTTCTTACTAAGCTGCATGAATTTCCTTGTAATGAGGATAATATCATGAAATCATCTCGAGCTTTTTTTTCTCTTTTAAATAAGACTTTTAAACCTGATACTAATATATAATATCATTTTTACGAATCCTTTACATTATTACAAAATATAAAAAAACTAAAAATGCAAAACGAATATTTGCCTCCTGTGAGGATTGAACTCACGACCCCTGGTTTACAAGACCAGTGCTCTGCCACTGAGCTAAAGAGGCCACTGATTCTATTGTCATATTATAGGTAGATATAATATATATATCGCTTACATTATTAGTGAAAATATACAACTACGACTCACAAACTATAAGATACCTTATGTAATAGTTGTACTATGTTAGGCATAAATTTAGTTTATTTTGGTGGAGGTGGATATTGAAACAATAATAATTTAGTTATAAAAATGTTTTAAGCCTTTCTGTTTTCATATTTTTTTCTTTTAGTTTTCAGCTAAGACAGTTTATTTTTTTACAACAATAACAAATAGAATTCAAGTATTTAATTGTATTTTAACTGTAATTTGTAAATGTATTTAATAGTAAAGTAAATGTTTTATGAATTAAGTTAAACTTAATACTATATATAACATGATATAAAAGCGTGCCAGTTGAGCACAGATCACTTCGCCAATGTCTATGAAACATTTATTTTTTAATTAAAATTGTAATAATTTCAACATAATGGGCAAGAATTTTGCCTTTTTCTCCCCTCAGATGTCGCGATCACTATAGCCTTCAGTATATTGCAAAGCCCTTTATGCTATAGCGTGGATGGATTTTTTTCATTTTATGTAAAATTTAATTAAAATGACGAATTGTGCAGTGTCAGTATGCAAAGAAAATGCATATAATTTGTTCCGAAATGACAAAAACTAAAGAAATTATGGGAAATTTTGGTCGAATTATTGGTTTAAGACGACCAAAATTGGCAAAATCACTATCTTTATATTTGAGTGGATATCATTTTGAAGAAAGTACTTTTTTACATATTAATTACAGAGTTTCATACAAATTTTCATTCTCCATTTTACCCACTTAGGGAATGAATTACGTTCTTTCTTATTGGATGTCTAGATCATATAATTAATATGTCTTCCAAATTTCATATTTCTACGACCAGGTACAAAAGACATTATAATAAATTGCTTATCCCTTTAATGAATGCAAATAGGCCATACGTGTGGCGCCCTCCTTTCAAGAATTCCTCCCCATTTTGCCAACTATCATTAATATATTTTTTATCTGTGAGTTCAGAGCCGATACTCGATATTATTCAATATTCTGTAATTAAATACAATAACCTATCTTGAAAAAAAGATTATTTTGAATTTCTAACTTTTAAACTTTTTCATTTATTGATTAGTGACTTTATGATGAATAATTTGGTAAAAGGAATTTGTCTCTCTCAACATGCAGGTAGCAATTTATTTATATTATGTAATAAATACTTTATTGATATTATTTATTAGTCGATTAATTACAAACCTAAGAACTCAATTTTAATAGCCGCTAATAAAACTATATCTACATAAATTAAATTAAGCGTTGTGTTATTGTATATAATGGTATAACGTAATAATTCTGAAAAATTCCAGTGATAAGTCGCTCATTATGTTGTACTCCATCTATGTATATTAAGCAGTGGCGAATAGAGCATGGACTATCAGTCAACCGTACTGCGGAAGGAATCCTTACCGATGGACCTGACTACACATTTTTGGATGGACGACCGACACCTTTACTGGTAACTTAAATTATTTAAAATTTAAATCACTTAAATCTTTACTTGTTATAAATCAGATGTTATTGTAGTAATTGATAGGTTTCCATAGATTCTCTAATATTTGCAATCTATAATACATCTCCATACTCTTCCTGAGTGTCAATAAGGCCTCGTTTTAGCCCCAGAATAATGAAAAAAATTATTTCATATGATTCGATCTTTACTTTACATATTCTGAAAGTAGACTGTGAAGCACCAAACTTTGGTCTAACTGGGATTTTTCTTCAAAATGAGACATTTTCAGAAACATTTCAACTTTTTTTATAGGAAGCGCATATAAGGAACACTTTCTTTTTTATTTTAAAGTTCTTATGTTACTATACAACATCTTTAAAAATTAGTGCTTCCATCCTGCACCTTCTATATTCCTTTATATCCTTAGAATTGTTACAGTAAATTTTTAAAAGATTTTACTGTTTAACATAAACATATAATTTTTATAATCATGTTAGTGAATATGATTAAACTGTCCCTCATATAATATTTTGTTGTTACAAGAAAATTGGTACACCCTATAAATTAATGCTTAATTGTTATACATTCATATGAATATATACATTTTGTACTATCTCTTTATTTATCATTTGCACCCCTTCTATCTTAGTACTATTTCCTACACGTAAACTCCTGGAAGAAAGTGCTCTTTTAGCGATAAGGCCGCCTTTTGTACATTCTCCTATAATTTGTAAATTTTCTTTTCTTTTTGAGCGTACAATAAAGAGTTTATAATCATTATTATTATTATTCTATACCATTACTGATATTATAAATGTATTATAATGGTAACTCTTACGCCATAATAAGAAAATATACTTCAATTTTTTTAAACTTCTTATATGCTTCCCACTGTATCTAATCTATTTTTTGAGTCAATAATAAATTAAAAATTAATTTTTGTTTATGTGAGTACTTTCTATGGTGCCTTAAATATAATTAATTGTGCCTATAATAAGGATAATATTTTAAGTGTCATTAAATAAAAAGCTAAGTTTCTATGTTCTTTCAGACAAGATATTATGCTAATCTTTTATACTGTAGTGTTTGTTTCACATTCTTAACCTAAATTTTACCCATTTTTTTTACTGGAATAAAAATAATATACATGATAAAAAATCTTTCTTTTCAATAAGTTTCTTTTCTTATAAAGGGCTATTAACATGATTCCCATTCTAAGCTCTATGTGTTATTTATTAAATACATTATTTAAAAAAAATGTTTTTTCTTAAATATTTCGTATGTAGGTCATTAATTGTACAATATATTTTTAATTACAGCAAAAACAAAAGAAGCGAATGCTTAAACAGCAAGATTATGCTACAAAAATTGTAACATTATGTTCAGAAATAGATTTTGCTAAAAAGAGATATCAAGATATGTTAAATGCCAAGGAGGAAGAAAGACGAAAAATTATAAGTAACAGACTCAAACCAAAAGGAAGAGCATTAAGCAAATAAATGTTTGTTATAATTAATTATAGGTTGTTTGATAGTTTTAATAAAATAATATCTTTAGATTAAATAAGAAGTTTTTATTCAATTGCTTCATATTATATACATTTTTATTGTATAATTATATATTTTTTTTAATCTATACTAATATTATAAAGAGGTAAAGTTGTGAGATTGTGAGTTTGTGTTTGTGACGTTGTAGGGAGTAATCTCTGGATCTACTGAACCGATGTAGATGAAATTTGGTAAGAAAATATTTTGAGACCCCGGGAAGGACATAGGATACTCTTTATCCCGAAAATCATCCCTTAGGGGGTGAAAATGGGGATGAAAGTTTGTATTGGAGAGCAAGCTAGGGACGAACCTGAGCAAAGCGAGGGTGAATCGCTAGTAGCATATATATTTATTGAAATAACAATATTATTTTAAGAAATTTTAATTAATTGTGGCCAAGTTCAAAGTAATACTAAACATACCAATAGATGGCGTTGTCCAAGAACGTTAGAAAATCAGAAAATCTTCACTCGGTTACGTCAGGCAGGCAGTATTCCAATAACAGGGGTTATCTAAAGTTATTTTAAATACAAAATTTCCACATGGAGTTGTCAGTTGTTTGTAACCGAGTCTATTGTGTCAGTACTCAATGTTATCGCTTAGTACCATATTCATTGAACATTGTCGTGTTAATTAAATTAAAATATTAAATATATTTAATCTTTAAACGTGTATTATGAAATTATCGCAATGTTGAAGCAATTGCCAAAATAAAAAAGTGGCGCGAAGCTAAGAAACGCACAGGGAGGTTGCCCACTTCAGTGGGCGGTGGGAGGTGGCCCTCCTCGGGGGGCGGTGTACCATGCGGGTTGCTCCTGGTACTTCTCTGATAGTAGAGTGGACCTTGGAGCAACCCCATGGTTGTGGTGGTCTGCTTCGGCAGACCTGCCGTCGGGGCGTCGTAGTTGAATGCGTAAGCGATCCTGCGACGCCCCATTAAGACGGGGGAAGGTTTTGTTGGGTTTTAGTGGGTAGTACTGGCTGTATTACGCCGGTGAGTCCCACACGTCGTGCGTAAATGCATTTCCCAACGTTAAAAAAAAAAAAAAGATTTCTCAGAGATGTAATAATATATTTTTTATTTTTTTGATTTGACGCAAATAAGTCAATATTGTTGGTAAGGTAAAGTTAAACTATGCCGCTAATTCCTGGGTAGTTTAGTTCGGATCGGCTTCCACCATCTCTTTCAATTCATTGTTATTTACCTGTGTGGGCGGTCTTCCACGTTTTTTGTTCTTCAAATCAAAGTTTTCATCACGAAAGCGTTTAAACCAAAATAGCACGGTACTTTCGTTAGCAAACCCCTCTCCAAATGCAACATTCATATTGCGAGCTGTTTCTACCGCGTTAGTACCGCGTCGGAACTCGTATTCAAAAATCACTCGAATTTTCGAAGTATCATCTTTCTTGTCTAAGCTGAATAAAAAAAAACAACTGAAAGTCGATAATCGTATGTTGCACATTCTTTAAAAGTAGAACTACATAGGTACCATGTAAAAAATGTTTCACTCAAAACTCTCAAACCATGAAGGTTCTATGTCAATTCGAAGTACCTATTACAATAAAATTAAAATTCATACTTTAACCCCTATTATTATATGCATTATGGTTATATATTTGTTTCAGAACTCTATTTTTACTTCGTCATTAGCCTAATTATTAGAAAAATGAAATTTTGTTCACAATTTCCTACGACATGCGCACAAAAAACATACAACCGATTTGAGTACGAAGTGATCCTTTTTTTCTGAAATTCATCATTTTTAAACGAGTAACTAAAACTATATTTTTAATTTCATTAGTGATTTGAGATCAGAATAATCAATAGACAGACAGATAGAAATTAAAAAAAAACTGTTAATTTAGTCCTTATTTAAAACAAACAATTTTTACAACATTTTTTATTATCTATGGATATTATCACGCTTAAAAAAATGCCTCCTGTGAGGTTTGAACTCACGACCCCTGGTTTACGAGACCAGTGCTCTACCACTGAGCTAAAGAGGCTGATGGTACAATAAGACTTTTACAGGACACAAGCAATAGATTTATTTTATCTATACCATTATTTTAACTATCCAGTTAAATATGGTTACCGCAGTAGCAAGGATCTTTGAGAAACATGGGGTTCTCTGGGGAGATCCATATTGCTTGATTTTTTTAGTGTTTCAAAATAATTGACTTGAGGAACGTTAAATGAGTAAAATATCTATAATTCTTTATAATCTATAAATAATTAATTTGTGATTGTGGCTGCTTTTGCGGAGACGTTTTTAAAAACCCGACTGCGTATAGAGTGAACTATAAAAATGAGAACAATATAGTGTTATGCAATCGGAGGCATCTTAAATAACTTAATACTTTCGTCTCTGATATATATAAATTATATGTTATATATTCATAGGTAAATTAATTTTAATAGCCCTGTTAATATTTATAATTCGAAAAACACACAATATTATTCTCAAACGTTAGCGGTACTTTTTTCTTTCTAATGTTTTAAAAAAACATCACGAAGCTTTTACATAAAAGCTCATTTCAATTAGTTATAAAAGCTCGTTGAAGAAAAGTACTTAAAGAACCAAGCGCTTTAACATATATTTTAAATTTATAAAATTTACAACAGATTTTTATTTAAAACGGTATTTTATGTTACGGTATTACTGTTTAGTGAGTTACTGGAGTGGTTTTTTTGCCTTCCTCCTCTGTTAATATATTCTCGTTTAAAGCCCTTTCAACTACGAGTACTTAGACCAGCTCAAACATCGTGCACTGTATGACTCACAAATATTTACACACGACAGAAATCTTTTTACACCGATTGGGTGATCGTAAGTTTTAAACGAAAAGAGGATGTGTTGACAGTCTGTACATATGTACGAGTATATAATAAAATTCTAAGTGACTGTAAGTCGAATCTGTAAATTATTTATTTTTTGGAAAATCTTATTGAATTTGTAACTATTATCGATACAGAGGCCGAATTTATAGTTTTAAGAATTATTTTTTGTCTGTCTGTCTGAGAACGATAAAACTACTGGACAAATTTTGATATAATTTGGTATGATGATAGCTGGTGATCCGGGTCAAAATATAGGATACTTTTTACTGCGGGAAAATATCTCATCTCTGTGAAATCTGTACTAAACGATAAAACATAATGCTCGTATTATATAAATTTATTAAGTGTGTAGTAAAAGCTTTTAACACAAACGTTTTTTGTATATAACATTAGAAGCTTTTAAACGTTTTCTGAAATCCTGTTGTAAAAAGTATGTATTGTCCATACAAACAAATACTCTAAGTAAATGAGCAATGGGTATGCAAGACTAGATTACATCATAAATTTTACGAACAAATGTACGTATCTTTTTAGGATACATATGTATTGCATCGTTGAATAGCAAAATTGATATATTGTTTGCTAAAAATGATGGAAAATATACTATAGAGCATTCGGTTCTAGGTTCTTTTAGTAGGTGATTTTCAGTGTTCCTTGAAGAAAGTACTATTATTCAATTAAAAAAAAAATAATTTCAATATTTAGATAATTTTTAAAGTTCTAAAAACAGGAAGATATCAATAAGTCAGGATATAAGTTATTGAAGTTATTTTGTCAACGTTATATAAGCTAACTAGAATTGCCCGCTGCTACGCAAGCTTTCAGATGACCAAAAACCAAATTCTTAGGTTTTACATATTAGTATACTCTTACAATGCAGTTTTTGTATTTTTTCTCAAAAATGGAATATTTTTCCGGTGGTAAAAAGTATCCTATATGTTGACCCGGCTAACCAGCTATCACCATACCAAATTTCATGAAAATCCCTCCAGTGGTTTTTCTGTGCTGCGGTAACAGACAGACAGACAAAAATTCTAAAAAACTATAGATTCGGCCTCTGTATCGATAATAATGTCTATTTCAATAAGATTTGTCAAAAAATATTTAATATACAGATTCGACTTAGTTACAATTTTATTATATGTTTAGATAACCTTCCTCAATAGTTATACATACTTACATGCAAAAAAAAACAGAGATTGGCGCAATCAAATAAACAAACAAACTCTTCTACTTTTATATATTAGTATGAAATTATCGAATATTACACCAGCGTGGGCAAAGAAAGTTAATAAATTTTAGCTTTCTTCCCTTCCTTTAAAGCCTTCTTCTCATAAAGCTTATGCCAAAGCTCATACTCCTTTGTACACGCACTATACTTAACAAAGTTTTTTCTTTACATGTTAATATATAGAAGAACCTGACAAAGTGGGTGTTATGTCTAGTAATAAAGAACGTAGCATCATCAGCCTCTTTAGCTCAGTGGTAGAGCACTGGTCTCGTAAACCAGGGGTCGTGAGTTCAAACCTCACAGGAGGCAAGGATTTTTTACCTGATAGCATTTTATTTGAGAAACTTTACGTTTATCTTTTTGTGTAGAGTATAATATTAAATTAAGTGATTTTAACCAATTTACCTAATAAAGCATGTTATTTTTTAATTAGTTTTTAACTTCTTCTACAAAAAGGGTGGTTTTGCTTGGTATGTGATTATGTCTGTGGTATAAGCTTCCAAACAAACAGAAACGGAGACAGTCCAATGAAAGTCCATCCAGCTGTTCAAAAGTTCTAAACTCTCTTCGAGGGCGGTATGAGGAATTTTAATAATAAGTGATATTTATTTTGCTTATTATATTTTTATATAACTTATCAATCGGTTTGAATTTTTGTACATATCATAGAAGTAATGGTCATGCAAAGCTATGTAACCTAACATAGCCACGACTTGATGCTGCCCTCAGCGTACGTTAGATTAGATACGAGAATACCATGATTGGATTCACTTAATTTACTTTATTATCTGCTGTAACGATAACGATCAGGTTTTTATATACTTATTAATTATTATATAGTATAGTGTTTATGTAATTACTATAAGCAAAATGTGG